CACCTGACGATCCACGATCAAAAGTGTTTACCCCCTTCATCACTTCAGGATTTCGTACAGTTTAAAGATAATTTCGATTTAAAGGTAAGCAACTTTACGCTTCAATACTTATTAACGTGAAAAATATTTTTCAGGCTCTGTGCGTCTTTTGTACTATATATTTACATCCGACAATCCAAGACCAAGTTCCGCATTTCAAGATTTCATACAGTTCAAAGATAATTACGATTTAAAGGTAAGACAAATAATTTTCTATCTCGAACTTAATGCTTCAATATTTACTACCCTAAAAATAAATTTCCAGGCTCTGTGTGTCTTTTGTATTATTTATTTACACCCGACAATCCAATACTAACAGTGTGTACCACCTTAATCATTTCAGGATTTCGTACACTCGAACTTAATGCTTCAATATTTAATACCCTAAAAATAAATTTCCAGGCTCTGTTCGTCTTTTGTATTATGTATTTACACCCGACAATCAAATGCTAAGAGTGCGTACCACCTTCATAATTTCAGGATTTCGTACACTCGAACTTATTGCCTTAATATTTAATAACATGAACATAAATGTCCGTCTTTTGTATTATACATATACACCCAACAATCCAATGCTAAAAGTGTGTGTACCACCTTCATAATTTCAGGATTTCGTACACTCGAACTTAATGCTTCAATATTTAATACCCTAAAAATAAATTTCCAGGCTCTGTGCGTCTTTTGTATTATATATTTACACCCGACAATCCAATGCTAAAAGTGTGTGTACCACCTTCATAATTTCAGGATTTCGTACACTCGAACTTAATGCCTTCATATTTACTACCCTGAAAATAAATTTCCAGGCTCTGTGCGTCTTTTGTATTATATATTTACACCCGACAATCCAATGCTAAAAGTGTGTGTACCACCTTCATCATTTCAGGATTTCGTACACTCGAACTTAATGCCTTCATATTTACTACCCTGAAAATAAATTTCCAGGCTCTGTGCGTCTTTTGTATTATATATTTACACCCGACAATCCAATGCTAAAAGTGTGTGTACCACCTTCATCATTTCAGGATTTCGTACACTCGAATTAATGCCTTACTATTTAATAACATGAAAATCACTTTTCAGGCTCTGTGCATATTTTGCATCATATATTTACACCCAACAATCAAAAAGTTTTCTATCTTGGCGTTTTTGCTTCAATACTTCATTATATTAAAATAATTTTTCAGGCATAATGGTTGGACGCAAACGCGCTAAACGCTCATGCTCTTACTGCAAGGGTACAGATCATAATGTGCGGACATGTGCCGTTAAAGCGTCCGTCGAAGCCAAAGAACATTTTCTTCCGAAGCAGACAACTCAGGAGGAAACGACTTCTCACGAACTGATTGACAGAAACGCTGAGGTAGCTGTGGAATCAACGGAGCAGACCTCGAACCAACAGCTATCGACTCGTTATCCGGTTATTGGAGACACTATTTGGGATTTGCTGCCGACAACTGCTTCTCCGCCGTGCACTGAAGGACTTCGAGAGAGCTCTTACGGTAATCCTGGTGGTATGTCATGGCTTTTGAAGGTATGTCAACTAAACTATTTAGACTTAGTGAACAATTCCGGAGATGGTAACTGTGCATACATTTCTATATTACAAGGTGGGCAGTTGTCTGGGAAATGCTCGTTTCCTCTCCCTCACAGTATATACTTTCATCTACCATCGCCGAATGGGCGAGGCTTCAAACACGCCTTGACTGACAGCTCGATTGGCCAATAACCGACGCGAGCCACTAAAAGCCCGTTTTGACCCCTTTTCCCCCACGCGATCGCTCTGAAAAATTTTCTGGGTCGTTTTAGTAAAGGTCCCTGCACGCGTGCAAAGTTTCAGCCCGATCGGCCCGGCAGTTGTCTGGGAAATGCTCGTTTCCTCTCCCTCACAGTATATACTTTCATCTACCATCGCCGAATGGGCGAGGCTTCAAACACGCCTTGACTGACAGCTCGATTGGCCAATAACCGATGCGGGCCACTAAAAGCCCGTTTTGAGCCTTTTTTCCAAACGCGATCGCTCTGAAAAATTTTCTGTGTGGTTTTGGAAAAGGTCCCTGCACCCGTGCAAAGTTTCGGCCCGATCGGCCCGGCAGTTGTCTGGGAAATGCTCGTTCTACGCCCGACTCACAGTATACTTCCGAAATCGCAAAGTGACAAAACATCAAAATGATTGCGCGCAAAGCGCTTTTCGTTTATGTACCCACCGATCTATTCTATCCTAACGTTTGTGGTATTTTCATACGCAAATCTTTCGAAGACCCTGGCGAGCGACCGAGAGGGGTAATTCCCTGTTCGACGGCGATAAAACTTTCATTTAATCATCCTCTTCGAGAAACAAGTGACACTTTGATCGAAAACCCGTTCAAAAGTCTACGAATAGCCGAAAACAAACGAAGCTCGAGTAGGCGGGGTCTGGCACACGTTCAACCACCACAGAGGGCGGGGGGGCCAGCCCCCGCCGCCCAAAGTACTCGAAAAAATTGCCAGGGATCGGCCAAACGCTCACCCGTCCCGGAAACGCCGTTAAACGGACTCGAACTCAATCGGCGTGACTTGATTGATTGACATATTGACAGGAGACCGCACCCCGATTTTCAACCCCCGTTTTGACCCCCTTCCTCCGACCCGATCGCGCTGTAAAATTTTCTGGGTCGTTTTGGTAACGGTCCCCGCACCCGTGCAAAGTTTCGGCCCGATCGGCCCGGCAGTTGTCTGGGAAATGCTCGTTACCTACCCATCACAGTATCTACTTTCATCTACCACCACCTACGCTCAACGCGCAAGGACGCACGACATTTATTGTGACAGAGCAAAAAAACGCTCAACAGGTTGCGGGACCATCTAGTGGAGTGAATTCACCATTCATATTATTTGCCTGAAAGATCGTAGTCCAATTCATTTCTTTAAATATTATTTTATGCAACGCTTTATGCGAATAGGTTGATGACGTATTTCCCGCATTCAATCAAGAGTTGCTTGCCTTTGTTTAATCGTTCTTAGTAGTTCGAATTTGGTTTCGTGACATGTCCGCTTGCATAATAGTATTCGGTGTATTTCATTTTCTACTATTGGATCGACTCAATTCGATTGTGCAACTATGCAACACAAGGAATTGTGTTTCCGTATCTATTCGAGGGTAATGAAATTTTGTAATTGAGTAGGAAAACCTCCAGCAATGAATTGGAATATTACTAGCTGTATGGTTGCATGTCTTTGTGAAGGTAGTTCACCCCTCGCCAATAGCACTGAAGTACTGGCTTATAACGAAAAAAGTATTCTGCCCTTCTAGTTGCAATGAGCTCGAAAATAGTCTCCGGCTGAATGTTTAGTCCAAGGTCGTAAACCTCTCTCTCACTGGTAGTAATGTATATTGGCTAAGTTTACTAGCCCTCAAATCAGTAGTTCCCAAACTGGTGGTACTTAACCCCAAAAGGGCAACTTGACATTTTTAAGGGGTAATTCAGATAGGGATTTGTTGGTTCAAAAGGAATTGTTTTAAAACAATTGTTTTAAATCATTTTTTTTGCCTGTTTTGTTCAAAATGGCTGTACTATTTGATATTTTGTATTAAATAGGTTGAAGAAAATGGCTGTAAAAACTTGTCAAGCGCTTCTTATTTGCAATAAACTCTTCAAAACGCCACAAATATCAATAAAGGCCCCTACACACCTTCTCAAGCTGTAGTTCAGTGCGACCGCAAACGTGGTTGGCGCAGTAGGACGCAACCGATAAGTCATTGCGTGACAACCCTGCGACGAAACCACCTTGTGATAATAGAAATGCGATCGATTAAATGAGTTTGGATAACTTTGAAAAACTTATCTTTTCAACCCTAAAAACAAAGTATGCTAAGTATAAATTAACCGAACAGTATTAACTGAATAATTTCTTTATTTTATGAGAAAAATGTCAATACATTAACTCGAAATCCTTATCATGGCGTCGTAACAGATTAGTTGTGGCGTCATTGCATCAGAGGGCTGTTACAATTAGCACAGCCTAGACTAGGGTGTCTCATCGTTTAAATCAGTAAATCGCCTCGTATAGTATATTATTCACTATCGTAACGCACTCGTTTTGCCAAAGGCTGGCTGCCTTGTTCCAATTGCTTTCGTATTAGGCTCGTAAGCTGAGCTTCATGATTTTGTTACTCAAAACTTCTCTCTGGTATCTCGGATTAATATCCCGGTTAAAATCTTATGACTTTGGTGTAGACCCAAACGTGGTGATAAATGTACGCAAAAAAAGTAAAAGTCAAAACAATCATTTTTACTTACATTTTTCGAATTTTAATTCCGGCAGCGTATGCAGCTGCCAGAACGCAACGTTTTGGCATAATTTCGCGGGGGTGCAGGGGGTATTTAAATAAAAAATACAGAAAAAATTTGATTTAGAACAAGCCCTTGTTTTAAATCACGATGTTTTTTTTTAGAACTGATAACAAACTAAATCCTAAATTCAGACGTTCAATGTCTTTACAACTCTAAGTGTAATCCCCGTCGTTTTTGCTGTGTTGCGGAAATGCTGGGTGTGAAATGTTCGAATTCGGTGTATGAGCATTGCTACGTCTTTAATGTAGTCGGTCACGTGGTTAACAAAGACGTAATACCAAAGCTACATGGTTACGCGGCTAACAAACACATAATACCAAAGCTTCATTTTTGATTAAATGTCATTCAACTTTTTTCTGTGAAGTATGGTTCTTCGCGATGACATCAATTGAACAAAATATCTAAATAAGCTAATGTTTGACGATGATATGAAATGGTGCCTGTCGTCCATTTTGGTTTTATAGTCTAGCATCGCATATAGAGCCATCCTAACCACTGAGATTAAACCAGGACATCGTTCTTGTGTTCATGGATTCTTATATTGTTGTTTTTAAATTTGATAAATTGCGCGCTGAAAATTTTGTTTCTATAAAAGGGGTAATTGCCCTTCCGACAAAAGCCCTTCCTTTGTCGGTTCATATTTACAATAAAAATAATCTTGATAATTAATAATTTCACTGGTGATTTTATTTTTTCAATTCACAGAGATTTCAATTTTACTTTCATAGGGTTACCTCTTCGACCCTGGAAGGGGATATTTGTGAAACAATTGAATCACAAGGTAAACCACAGCCTATTCAAATTCTACTTGAAATACATGATGAAAATAAAGCATTTATCTACCTACTACATATTTTCAGTGTGAGATTGCCAGTATGACTAAGCAACAATAACTTGAACACATTGCTGGGAAAATCACAAAGGTGCTATCAAATTCTACTTTAAATAAAAATAATGAAAATTAAGCTTTTACCTTTCTACTACAAATTCTTAGTGTAAGATTGGCACTATCACTAAGCAACAATAACTTGAACAAGTTGTTGTGACAATCACAAAACTGCTTTGCATTAATATTACATATAAAGGACATTGTGATTTCAGAAAATACACATGATTCAGTAGAACTCGGACTAAAAAAAAAGTGATGCATGGAATATGTTCTGTCCAAGATTGAGAGTGAATGATTTTAAACAAGAAAGTTGCTATTTAACTTCTTGTTGTCAGAGTTTAGTTACTGTATTCAATGCACATTTACATACTACCTTTACAATTCTAATAATTATAAAGTTTTCCAGATTCAAAATGTTTCACTTGGTATCACATAAGAGTGCAACTCCGCGCAAAATCCACCTGTCAGGACCATGGGCTAATGTTGTGCACAATTTTAGTGGAAATATATATGTGAGGTCAGTCCTACATGGTTTCTTGTAAGTGGGACATTCATAAAAAGCATAACCAGATCGTGGCTTAACTGAAGACGTTCCTCCTGCCATTGCATTGATGGCATATACATGAGCAACAGGCAAATTTGTAAACAATACCTAAAAGCAAATAGGGCAGATTACTAAAATCCCAAGATTATAGCAAGAGGAGTTCACATGAGTTTACAAAACGAAACTTCAGCCTCAAATTTGTTCAATAAGATGTTAAACAATACCATTTCCAGCAACAGCAATATTCATTTAAAAAAAAAAGATGTGAGACAACCACACTGAAATTGGAAGCGCAATATTTTAAAAAATTGTGCAATTCACTTGAATTTGGAAATTCATCTAAAATCAAATTTGAATGTTTCGCAGATTCATTTGGGAGATTGATTAAATGTACCCAACCAAGCCATTTCGAAAGTATGACCAACACAGTTACCTTATTAGCAGGCTCTATCAGCTTCATATTTCGTTTATCCCATCCAGCACCATCAAGAAACAACCCATAGATATAAACTCCCTCATCAGGCGGTGATAAAACATCTTCCTTCAGCATTCTTGTAACATCATTATGTAACGTGACATTATCCAGTGCCCACCCTTGATGATTTCTAGTGATTTCTTGTCTCATTGCGGTAAGAAAGCCCTGTGTAATTAATCAAGATGGCTAAATAGAATCTATTCACCAAGATTGAAGATTTCAAAATGAATAGTTTTTATTTTTATTTTGGTGAACAGAAAGATATTATCTATAACAAGAGCTACAATATTTTTGCGACTTCAATTTGGGACGCCTCCAAAGACTAAGACTCCTTAGCTGTGATTTTTTTAACTGTACATTTTTCGATGTCACTACATAGGCCTAACGTTACATAAAGCAATCTCGGCTGTCTTCATTGACCATTTTGTCATCGAGAGTTCATGTGCATAGTCTCTGTCTAGCGTTAGTGGGGAAACAACGAAACAAACAAAATCATGCCTTCACCTTCAGTATGTAGGCTTCTGGTATGCTACACAGCAACAACAGTAGCGAGAAATTGCTAATTGGTAATGTTTGTGTATTATGCTAGCTTGCTGAATGCCAAAGTGGGACTTTTGGTTTACCGGTCGGGACGCCAAAACAAGGCGTTAAAAAGTGGGACTGTACTGCCTAAAACGGGACGTATGGTAAGCCTATCTATAACGCAATCATGTACTACATGTAAATTAAGATAAAGAACTATTATATTTTTCTCATGATATCATAGAAAAATATTTCTTTTATCATTGAAGTCAAAGCCAATGTGGTAAAACCACAGTAAAAAAATTCATACTTGAGGATTAAAAAATCCTGTCATCCAAAATTGGTTTGGTTTTCCATCAAATAACCAGGTTCGAAATTGAGCATTTCTGTCAAGTAAATCAGTAAACCAAAATCCTATCGTTGATGAGTCCCATGATATCTGAAAAATCATTACAGGAAAAATTTAAATCTAGAAAACCAACATAACATGTCTTCACTTGTTAAATCAATTGGCTAACAACTTAAACCAAAATTAAAGCTTCTGATTGTTTCCAGTCACTGATTTAGGATTTTCAAGGATTACTGAAACTAGCGAATAAAGTCATTCATCCTGAAGAAATACAGTAGTTCATGGGATGATAGATCATTTTTTATCATTCAAATATCAATTTTGAACCCAAATCTAACATATGATTAAAGTTGTCTTGTGTACTATTTTACCTTTCTCCATGATTCAGGTACCACTGCATCAAAAATACTATTCAATGTATCTCTCAATGCCTCATTCATAATGATAGTTCCTTCAATAGCAAGCTGTAGATCAGTGAGTGCAGTTCGAACTGTGCTTATAACTCTCTGCATTCGGTCAACCTAGAGATAGATAAAGCAATAAAAAAAACTAAGGAGGGAAAAAAAATATTATTAAAGACAGTGACAATGAAACACATTTCGATCAAAATAAAACTATATTTAAAAATAAATACTACCATACCTCCTGCCTAAGAAATATGTTTAAAGGTTCCAATATTCCCATTTTTTTCAATTTATCTTTCACTTCATGAGGAAGATAATCAGGAGGAAGTTTTTCTAGCATTTCTTTTGCATTTCTCTCAACCACACTCTCTCGAGTTTCACCGCCACCCCCAGAAGAATCTTTTGGCTGAATACTTTGAATTGTGCAGAAAACCTGAGAAAATAAGTGTCATACGTAACAAAAAATGGCATTCACAGTTCATTGCTATTGCATTGTTAAGAAAATACATAGTCACAAATACCAATGAGAATAACCATATCATGATACTGAGTAGATCCTACAGGGTGGTCGGCTGGTTGCTAGAAAAGCAGAAACATTTAGGGTCAGATGAGATCATGAATCAAATGCGTATAGGTTGAATTGGAATGATATCCCAAACATAGCTTTCAAATAATTTGTCGTTGGCCTCAGTTTAGAATACAGTGAAATTCCCAACACTGAACCAGAATTAGTCAGAATCAGGCTTCTCAGATATATACATTACTTTATATGCATTAGTTCAATTTGTTTTTAAGGCTCTTCTTATATCAGATTGCCGACATACAACAAACACCACTAATGAAATTCAGCCTACCACAAAAGAAATTATTCAAAAAAGCTACCATGTTTGCAGTATTGGTCTGATAGGTGACATCTGCATTCGGGTGTAATCCAAACACTTCAGGTGAATCTACATCTGGAAGATTTTCAATTTGTAATCGATAATCTTCAATATTTGAACATCGTGGGATAGTGTATCCACCTTAAATAAATATAACACTTTTTACAGTGCTCATTATTCAAATAAACTCATTTGATAATTTGATCATTCAGCAAAATAATGTTGTGTTTTCACAACCAACAAAATAAACCATATGGGAATCTTTATTATAGATGCATTAGAAAAAATTTGAATCCATGCTCCTGGAACAACTACTTGTAAACTATTTTATGGCCATAGATTACCATACGAATAAGCTGTCTTATCGGTTTCCCTTTTTCACAGGATGATCATGAAGAACACCTAATAAATCAATACAATTATGGAACCAAAGCTGTGGAGTAGGAGAAGTTTTAAGCCCGACTCTGACTCAAATTTCAACTCAAACTCAAAAAGTGATGTCTTGAAAGTCTTGAAGTATTTGATAAAATTGTGCTTAGTCAACTTTTTGAATGCTTTTGAAGTTTTTGTCGGTAGTTTAGACTTTAGGCAAAAATTTTGAGTTTGACTCAAAGAAATTAAAAAATGCGGTTGTGAATTCACCACCGATCAGCCTGCATGAGTTCACAAGTTCGAATTCTGTGGTGGATATTCATGTGAGAGAAGATTGGATGGAAGGGATGGACAAATACTGCTTCCTGCTTGGAAGTATTTACCTACTCGATTGTCGCGAGTAAACAGACAAAAGACTGTGGTTTACTATATGACTAAGCAATTTTATTGTCTTTCTTTTTACTAGGGTAATTAGGTAAATTTTATCCCTACCTCTGTAGCTACAATTACTATGACTAGCATGATCAAATGCTTGGCCACCTCTAAAGCATAAAAATTGAAATTTATATACAAATAAATACCTTTTGCAAAGAATGCAAACTTTGGATCAAACATATGTTCACCGAGCCATACTCTACAAAAAGTATTCAATAATCTTTTATCATAATCATCAGTTACTCTTCCTCCATACTGAACTTCACCTATCATGTAATTTATTGTCTTGAATGAAACACCCTGGAAATTAGAGTCATTTAGTAGTATACTGATAATAATATGGAACTGATATTGAGAGGTCTATGAAATAGAAATCAATTGCATACTATATAAATTGATAAAATATTATACTAGCGTTGTGATAGTGTAGTTCGAATGTGCTCAAATTCGGTGTGAAGCAAAGTAAATGCTATGCATCCTGTAGTTTAAACTTGGCAAGAGCATCCAAAATCAGTGTTTTCCAACCTCTTCACCCCAGTGGGCTGGTGAAATTGAATAAAATGTACTCATGCAGTGGCAACAAATTTTGAAATGAATAAAACCGCTTGTTGACCGGTTATTTTGATCAATAATGCATCAATAACTGATGCGATTATTCATGATAGCATTTAAATCGCATCATTAGCAAGTGTAAATTAAAAAAAATAAATTGGAAATGAATTACGAGCAGTTCTGCATATTTGGTTGGTTTTGTGATCATTCAATAATGAAGCCCACTGCCCAAGTATATATTTCAGCTATGTGACATAGACCAGAGATTCCTATATCATGGGTCAGGACTCACGAAGGGGCAAAAAATTGATTATTCTGAATTATGTGTTTGTTTACATACACCAGCGTTCCCCAAACTTTTTTGGTCGCGGACTATTTTCTCGCGGGCGAAAAGCTTTGCGGACGCAACGTGCGTTTATTGCAACCGTACTCTGTGTGAAGAAGTAATAAAACCAAACACAACATAATTTTAACGAATTCAAAAATCGATTTTTCTTTAAATAGCCGACTTTTTAGTGTATAAATAGCCTTTTTTGTCGCACAATATTCAATCCATGACAACGAAGCGAATTTAAAATGTCTTTGTATTTTAATTTAATTGTGTTCATGGTCACTCGCGGTTTCGTCGACTTATGAGAAGACAAAAGCATTACTCCTTTAAAAATGCCACGGATCTGCGAACATAATAATGTGAGAATATATTGGCCGATTATATTTAGTTTTAATACATATTTATTGCTATCCTGCGAATTTATTATCGCCGTTAGAAAAATCCTACTATCTGCTATAGATTTCCAGAAAGTACAACTTGATTTAGTACTTATTAAAAACCTAATTAAAGTATATACATTAGTAAATCAAAAAAATATTCATCGCCTTGCTTTAATATTAATTTAATTGTGATCTTTTTAATCTGCGGTTGTGTTCACTAAATAAGAGCAATATTACTCAGAAAATATCATGACAATCCGTGGACACAAAAATGCGTGGCAAATCTGAGCTGTTCTTACAACACTTTCAGCGCTCCAGTACTGTACGCACCAATGTTGAGGCAGTAAAGGAAAGAATCCCAATGTAATGGAAAATGCCCTGATATGTATACTACAGTAGCACCCGAAATTTTGCGAATTGCAATGTCTTAAAATGCGTTTTTAATCGGTCGAGGACCATCATAAAAAAATGTATACTGTTCGCCGTTTTATTTGTAGTATTTTGTATTGCCGATTTTCAATTTAGAAAATTTAGGTTGCCACCATTGACACCTACCAGAAAAAAAATTATTCCTCGTTGTTCGAGCTTGTGAGAAACACCACTTAGGTATCTATCCACGCGTGTGCCGACTCGTGTTTTCGTCAGAACTCTGCAAGTGAGTTGTGAAATCCAATCGTTTGATTAAGCAACGCGCAAGTGACCTGTCGCCTCACCTCTTACCGAATTTTCGAATAGTAAATTGCTATTCTAACAGTTGAATATTCGAATATATGCCCAGACCTACTCAGTAACCAGTAATTATTGATTCGATTAATTAATGTTACGTGAATAAACTTGCTTTTTATGTTTTATGTAAAATATAACCTAAATCGTAACTTGGCTGATGGTTGAGTTTCGCAAAAACGTTTGCGGCCCGCAGTGCATTTCTGACTAAGGATGCTAAGTATGATTACTTACAAGTATTTGATTCTTATCCGATTCCGATTCGCGATTCCAAATATCGATTCCACGACATAATACCAAGAAAACTTATCCACCTAAGCATTATCATATGAAATCAAACAACGGAGCGATGTTTAAATATCAGGACGGACAAGAAGGCCCAAACTAAGTAGTATGTGTATCCAATCTGTCACAAGAGACAAAATCGCACAAAAAATCGAATCCCTCAGAACCCACAGAGATTTAAGAAATAAATAAACGTAATAAAAGCATTCTAGCGAAAAATATATATATATATGTAGTGAAGTTTGCGGGGTCGTAGCAACTCAACCTAGCAGTAAGGAATTGCCATATATCGTTACACATTGTATGCAATCTAAGTTTTAACCTCGAGAATCGATTTCAATGCATCAGAATCGATTCCAGTCGATTCCGCGAAGAATCGAATCCGGACTCGATTCCGCCATCCCTATTTCTGACTCGTTGCGGACTTATTTAACTCATTTGAGACCGCGGACTCGGTTTGGGAAACACTGACATACACTAACAACTTAAATATTACAAAAGTTTGTACATGTCTAAACCATGAAAAGTATACAACATCAATAACATATTAAACAATAATCTTGTTTAGAACATCGTTCCCACAACAGTAAAATGTGACATCAACAAAATTTACCTTCTTAGGATCTATATCATCCAAGTGATTTTGAATAAATTGAATACATGCTGTGAAATCAGATTGGTTGAATTCATATGGAATATTCCATCCCAATGGACCAAATTTCCTCCTTTCTTGAACAACTGAATGTACAAATGCTGTAGTATACAAGAGGGGCTTCCACTGTGGCATGTTTGTCACTTCAAGCTGAAAAAAATACAATTATAAATAGACAGACATGAATAGAGAAAAAAATATTTTTAGTTTAGTGTTATAAGCTCGATCAAAATGAAATTAATACTGATAATTAAAAAATGCAAATATTTAAAATTGAAAAAAAAAAAGTTTACGGTCACAAGAATTTGATATATGACATTATATATTCTGCTCAGGTATAGATGGCCAGGTTAGAAATATGCCTTAAAATGGCAAATACAGGTGTTCTGAATAAAACATGAAAATTACATGCTCAAAAAAACAACAACATTTCTTTGGTTTTTTAGCCTCCTAATCAAAAAAATGATACAAGATTTTATATTCATTGGCGAAAACTGAAAATAAGAATGCACACCAGCTCCTGTGACACACCGCCGTATGTTCGTTTCAATCCCGCTTTCATGCCCTGAGGAGGTTCATTTGTAAATTTGATAGATGATTGAAGTAAAGTAATAGGAAATTTTGGATTGACTTCAGTAGTTATCCAGACTCTCATACTTGGATCACATTCAGCCATGTCTTGCAACTAAAGATAATTTTCATTGCTGCATCATCAAAATTTAATGTAAAATCAACTAGCACATGTAAATACTGGTAATTGAAATAAAATATATATAGAATCCTTGTTAACCCTATTGTTCTTTTTTTGACAAAAGTAATTTCATTTCAGATGCATGAACCTGTTGATGGAGAAGGCTGTGACTGACCAGCGGTAACATTAACCACCCTACAACAGTGAGGAGTCCAGCAATCCTCTTGCACATTACCCACACAGGATTCGAATCTGCAAACCCATATAGAATGATCAGAGGAGCAGTGGAGAGCATATTCCTAACCCTTATCACAATGCTCCACACCGCCATACATATTTTACAAAAGTCATTACCAAAGTGCTCTTGGACTGAAGTAATACCATGATATTCATCAACACTTACAGTATCAAGTAATTCATCCATAAAGTCAAGACCAAGATGACAATTTTGAAACAAAACCCAACCACCTTCAGTCATAGCTTGTTGCATTAAACGCCTGGCATGAATTTCTTGTCCTTGTCCCATTGATATAGCTTGGCATCCTATTCATTAAATAATTTGAAATACAATCTTAAATTATAAAAATCCAGAATTTTAAAAATGCAAATGTGTTTTGAAAGCTACATTTCCTGATCATGTGATATATTGCATAAAAAGGAAAACTGGCACACTGACTCTTTAATATTCGATATTAAATGTTTTGATAATGTTTATTTAATCAGAGAAACCTGTCACTTTGTTAGAAAAAGTTTGTGGTTTATAATTCTCAATAACAGAATCATCATTTGCTTTATCTAACCAAATTATTATACTGTCATTAAAAACACAAGTCAGCACAACACTTACTCAAACTGTGTTTCTTTGCCAATTTTTCAATAGCTTCAGTCGGATCAGAACCCATAGACAATAAACAAACCATGGGAGTTGTAGGTATACTCTCCTCCCACATTGTTTCCAAATTCAGAATTACACCTTCAACAAACTGATAACAAAAAATAAGGAGATCAAATTATATTCATGTAAGCAGGAATATAGCTAGACCATCCCGACGGGAGGATTGAAATTACCCATAGTACTCAAAAGAAACCTTGCAGCGACTTAAAACAATTGCCTCGATTGAAACATTCATTAAGAGAACTGACTTTTTCAGCTGATATTGATCTCCTAACATTTGAAAGTGACTTTAATTAAAAGAGTATATTTCGCACAAAATTAACTGTGTTAGTTTATATTGCATCATTTCTTTATGTAACTAAACAAAATGTATGCAGTAGTCAGTAAAATTTTTCTCAATTTACAATATTTAAAATAGCGTTAAATTGACATTTTATCTGTCGCAGTGCTTCTAAAGCCAGAATTCAGGATGCTTTTTTCATTTATTTTACAGAATATACAATATCATTTCAATTTGTTAATGCACATAATGTTTATTTTATTGCAGATTGTCTTCTTTAATTTATTTCCAACCTCTCCACACCGATGTTCGTGAAATGACTTTTGTCACTATACCATAAGAAAAATAAAACTAATAATCGATTTCCACTTGAAACTTGAGAGACATGTGTCAATAGTTAATTGTAAGACAGGGAGAATACCGGAACCAATATGAAGATATTCACACTCTAAATCATAGGTTCTCAAAGTGCTCCGTACGGAGCCCCAGGGCTCCGCGAGAGTAACCCAGGGGCTCCGCGAGCTATTCGATTACTTTTCAAAATACTGACTTGGCTAATTTAAAACTGTTCCTAGAAGCAATAACAGCTTTGATGAAATTTGACAACAATATAGCCTCGAAATATGAAAAAGGGGCGGAATTAAAAAATGACATTATTTTTATAAGCAGGAGCGCAGCCAGGATTCTTAAGAGGGAGGAGGTCTGTCGGTAGTTTCAGAAAGGAAAAATGGTACACCGCGCGCATAATTAATTGACTGTGTTTCAATTTCGCAGTTACTACGATGAATAACCGAAAACCTAACATAACACCAAATTTATGATTTACGATGTCTATAACAGCGTTTTTATTCTGACGTGAGTCTGCTAAAACAAAACTTATGGTGTTTTCTTCCATTTTAAGTTTTAGTTCTAATATTTTAGAATGCCGCTTTTTAATCAAGAAATTTGAATTGCGGATTTACCTCTTTATTAACTATTATTTTTAGCATTTCGTCGCCGATGATTATAATATGATAACATGTTTTTCACATTGAACTCATAATTCCCCACGAGATTTATTTATGACTTCTATTGACCCTAATAAAAGTGTTTAGTATTTAAATTGAGTAAAAGTACGTTTAACTTACTCAGGAATATTAATCGGAAAGTAACAATTTTAACATTTATTATGGGGCTCCGTGAATAATAGTCAACCTTTTCAAGGGCTCCGCAACGCCAAAAGTTTGAGAACCCCTGCTCTAAATGATCATGTTTTGCTGCTGGAAACTATGTCCAGTTTTAAAATGATTTTGGTCTGAGTTGAACTTGGTTTTACCAAATATATATTTAAAACAGCAGAGTATTTAGGTTTTAACCTAAAAAAGTAAAACCACATTATTGATGTAATCATAATCATGATGACAATGACTCACAAGTCACAATGATATTTGTAAAGCAGTTATCCAAATATAAAAACAAACTAACTGGTTTTCCCAAAGACTCGTGTATGTAGTATCTAGCCATTGGCATAGTACGGTCAGGACACCAACTTCTTATCAATAACAATTTTCTGAATGTATCTAATGATTTATTATAACCTTCTGGTATTTCACATTCTTCTGGAGCTTCTTCATCAAACCATTGCTTCCATGGTCTACAAGATACATTATACATTTTTAAGACGAAAAGAAGTTCTGATATGAATTATTCCCAATATTAATTTTATGTCTTTTCAATCAGAAGTAAAACATTTTTACTACAAGAAAAATTAACCAAACCTTAGTACGTACAGTATGATGTACTAATTATTATATAAAATTTATCACTCATGTCATAAATGATATTCCATCTCCATTTTTGCTTGAAATATTGCTGTTCAATCTTACAGATCCAATACAGCATATTGTAAAGCAAGCTGGACTAGATACTAGATTTTATTTCATGCATCATACTTATCATTGGCTGTGATTTGTGTAGTGACTTGCTTAAACTGATGAAGACAAGTCAGTTGTACAAGGTTCAACCATGTGATGTCCAGAATCCATTTTTTGGGCTTAGGAGCAACAGCATTCAAATCTAAAGATGCTCCACCTGAAATATTCATTTTTATAAGGTAAATATACAGGAAAATGACGGTATCAGCCTAGTTATAGTAAGATTGAATAGGTAGAAACCAGAAATACTGTCTGACTGAATGGCCACATTTAAAGACTTTTATGGCATTTATAATTTTGCAATTAATTCAAATGTCAAACTCTAAGGTTTATCATTACTTATTGTACGAATATTTTAAAAAAATAAAGTGATTACAATGTTTAGTAAAGGATTTCCAACCTTTGATGTTTTTCTAAAGACTTTCAAAAGCGCTTAACCCTTTCCGTGCGGTGGGCACGTATACGTACCCACGACAAAAGTCGCTAGATTGCGTACTTCACTGTTTTATTTAGCAATGGGTCGCAAACTGTTGGTCTAGTTTTTACGGGTTTTAGTTTATTGATAAGAAGTCTTCTTCGAGATTAACATAAGCGACGGTAAATCTCGCTTTCGTTTACGACGGGAATTTTATTTGCGGCGGAACGAGGGAGTGTTTTTGAAATTTATGCAAATTTCGGTGTTTTTTGGGTGGTAATAGAAGACATATTATCCCTTCCATCTACCAATGTATTCTGAGTTAGATCACGAAATTGCTACAGCAATATTATGCTATTGTTTGCCAACCACGAAGCGGTAACAGTGAAGGATTTAGCGTATATTTCTATTTTTTATCACGGTTTGAAGTTTCAACTCCCAAGAAAAAAAAATGCCCTCTTCCTATCCGGTTTGTGACTCAGACCACCACTTTTAAAAAAACATTTTTTTTTTAATCGCCAATTGCAAGCTCTTTAAATGAGCTCTCCAACGAGCCATCAGTGGGCAGCAGAGGATCATTAGTTTTTCGTTAGTCGATCGATTAGTTGTGGGGGTACAAATGCATAAAATCGGCGTAGCAAATACGATTATTTATTAAAAAATAAAAATCGCATGGAAAGGGTTAAATCTACATTTGCAAATTTATCATTCATTTCATCACTCATCCGATATTCGCAAAAAAACTATCTCATAAGATATAAAAGTGAATTGGTTCAAAAGCTTAAAAAAGTTCATTGTGATATAAGTTTGCATGAAACCAGTGCAAAACATTTTGAGGTTCTTAATGCAGAAATGAATGAACATGTTCATGTATATGAGATTTTGTTCCCCTGTACTTTGGTTCAAAGTTTATGCTTCATTTGCCATATTTTGTCAGCTAAGCACAATAGCAGTAAGTTTTATATAGGTAGTTATTTTGATTTCATTTTCTGCATGTGAAGTTCATTGACTCTAAAAATATCTTTGTGATCCATTAAGACGCCTGGATGGAAAACACTGCTCTATATCTAAGTAAGTTAATAGAACTCAAGATTTGCAACTTGTGTACTTGCAGTTATTTAAATATTAGAATAGAAAAATAATTAGTAAAATCAAAATTTGATGACAATACAAATTGAACAGTTAGTTAACCAGCTATCATTGACTATCATTGATTGACTATCAAAGCATACTATCATCTTCATAAACATCAGGTAACAAACCTTTTATAAGAATATCAAATTCTTGACGATTTAGTTTTCCTCCTTGTAAATCAATTTTCAATGCAAGCAATAAAGTGAATATGAATTTATGTTCCTCATACAAGCCACGAGCAGTATAGCAGAAAATGGCATATGTTAAATGCTCAATAACATTAGCAATTCTTTTTGCCGGAATTGGAGAGCGGGGTGACCTAAAATAGTGATTAATGTAAAGTAATGACGGGTTCTCTGCTACAACTTCATATAACTAAATAGAGTTTATCAGCAGTACCTTCTCCATATTGATTAAAATGTCTCTGAAATGTTAAGGTAAACTAAAAAGATATTATGCCAGAGATATTGCATTGCTTTGAAAATGGCGACATGTTCGAGTTGTTCTAGTATGTCATGTTGTATTTGAGAAAACTCTGTTTGTATGCTTATTATGACTGAAAAGTGGATGAGATCCATGGATGTAACATTGGATCACAGAGATGATGGATTCACAATTCTGCATATATTTTATTTCCTAAGTTTCCTAGTTGCAAAAATGAAATACCTAATACCTGACTATACTGATATCGAAGATGTTTAAGAACTGAGCAAGTGATGTTTGATACATAACGTTGACCAAACTCATTTCAGTTATTAGAAAATAAAGAATTGATCCTCGTGTAGCAACTGGCCTATATTCTTCTCGCGCTGTATTAATTTTCATTTCTGTATCTTCAGCAATATTAAGTTTTTCACTGACTTCCTCTGCAGTTCTTTTGGTAGTCTAGAACAGTCAAGAAAAAATGAAATGAATGGCTTATGAATAAGAATGATGTGTGATGATACTTTACTAAAATCATCTGCCAAATCCTTATACATTGACATGCTTAGTAAAGATTAAATTTTGAAATTTGTGGTTTGAAACTATATTATTCCACTATTGTTCACAGTAATTTTTAAAATTCAAACACACTTCTACTTAGTTGTGGTAAGCATTGTACATGTTAGATAAATAAGAAAGCAGTATCAACTTCATTTTTGTACTTCGCTAAAACAACAAGAACAGATATAATTTCCACACCTATGTCGAAATATCAAGTAAAACAAAAGTTAACTTTTGATTAACAGTTTTATTTTTAATAATATACAATATTATTTATCTGTTATCACTAAAACGGATATTCATAAATTCTAGTGAATGCTCGGTTGAAATTTCTTAAAATTTTGAGCTCAAATTTTGAATTTAATTGAAGACATTCCCAAAACTAATGATTAATCTCAGTTACCCCTTTTAAAAAAATACATATACTCATATCGTTATCACTTTTTCTTCGATCAAAAGTGGCTATCACCAGGGTGGTTCAAGGTTGTCGGCTCCGCAAGCCACAAATTATTTTTGCATTGCTCGCGGGCCACAATAGTGCCAAGAGTTGGTAAACAGTGCAATAAAAAACAAACACTTTTATTGTGCAAACACATAGTTATCAGGCAAAGACATCCCAGGCTAATAGAATCCGCATTCGATTTTTAGTTTTCTATGATGCCTATGTTGTTAGCATATTTCCCGACTAAAAAGATAGAAAGCCAGATAATAATTTAGACTAAGAAGCACATCATTCAACTTCGCTAGTTGCTCGAGCTAGTCACAACACTAGACAATTCAGTGACTTTAGTGATATAGCAATATGTCAAAAGATTTTTCTTATTAATTATATAACACAAAATTTTTGATTACTTTTCGAATGTGACACGGGCCACAGATAATGAAGCGACGGGCCACATGTGGCACGCGGGCCTGGGTTTGGACCACCCTGACCTATTGCATATATCAAACCGAATCCAAGATGCTAAACTTGTGTTAGCTCAGCATTTTAGCCTACAATATATATGGCGAAGTCTTGTTATTATGTCTCAAGAACCGTGTGACTGGATGACTAGGCTGATTGACTAGATGCGAGCATTGAATGTCCAGCTTTTCCTCAGTCTAGTCAAAAGTGGGAGGATCGATACAAGAATTATTAAAACAAATAACATCTGGATTACACTCTAAAAACTGCCAAATTACCCTTTGGGGGTAAAAACCCCCAGTTTGGAAACCACTGATCTATGGCATGTAAAAAAAAATGAAATTTAACACCTTAATCTGCAGTAATGATTATGTAGCATGTAATAAGCAAATAACATATGTATTTGTGATAGTGACTTTTAAAACATACAAATCCATAACTAGCTACAATTATTATATTTATTTGACCTGCAGCACTTGGATTAAACTTTCATCCTCCACTAATGATCCTTTTGTGGAAGTTAATCTGTACAAAAGATTATCTTCCAGTTCTTTCATTTTCCTTCTGTTTTCACCAACATCTTCCAAAAGTTTCACCCTTTCACTTTCTAATTCCTATCATAATGATTAATAAAAAATTATCTTTCTATCGGACTGCATAAATACTACGAACTACATATATCGAATTAAGCAAAGAATGTTATTAAAATAAGGAGGGGTAGACACTGTAGGTTGCATACATTTCAATATTCATATAAAAAAACAGTTATGATTTCAGATCAGGGATTTTGTGTCAAGTCCAAGTTAGATACTGGGTGTCCCAAAATAAATGAAACCTATTAATTTGATTACCAACACTGTTGGTCTTGTTAGATTTGGGACACCCTATAGATAGTTATTTCTTTTAAAAACCTCATAATACACACAAATTGAAAATTTCTGTAAAGTGAGCAAAACGTTTGAAAAAGTTTAAAACCTGAGAAATAGCGCATGCTCACACCAGCACACGTACAAAAAATAACAAAAAACACAAATCTAGTTAAACGTGGCTTGGGACCAGAAATAAAAATACCAAAAATACGTGGGGGATTGAACTTTCGGGCTGTTGTACATTCAAAATACTTAAGCTAATGACCAATTCAATCTCAAGACAGAGATAACATGTGGAATGCAATAGTATAAGGTGACGAGGATAGTCAACTACAATCATTGCTGAAAAGTAGTTTAAGATACCTACAAACTTGGTATAATGATTGGTAATAATTTACCTGTTTTTCAGTTACAATGACTCTGGCGAGTAACTGATCTTCCAAGCCACGAATTGTCACAGTGAAATCAATGATTGATGTCCGTGCGCTAACTTCAGGAGTGTAAGCAGGATTTGCCATCTTAGAGCTAATATACATTCGAAATCCTGACTGAACATCAACTTCTTTATCTCCTAGTTTTACCTAATCGGATATAAACAGATGTTTTATCTGTCTACAGAAAATATGTATTCGATTAGAACAGATCGAACGAGAGAATATTGTTTGTTATATGGAATAAAATAAAAATTGGAAAGTTTGTATTTATCATGATCGAAGTCTTATGTCTAAATCAAATAATAATACAGTAATCATAAAGTAAATATAAATAAAATAAAAAATAAAAATAGAGTTGAGAAAGCAACCACTCGGGAGGTCATTCGAGCCCTGGTCTTTGGTATGCTTAACTATCCAGATATGAACAAAAATATTTGCATCTGCCTATACAAATTTTACATTGCACTGGATAAAACTGGGTATAGTCTGCAGTGGACATCAAATTTTCTATTCCAAACAATGTAGATGAAAATAGGATTTAAACTGAACAGTTTTACCTATCTCACCTACCTATCTATATTTTAAGATTTAGAACATATGAGATTAATTTCCAGTTTAGAGCAAGATATATATTGCTGTTTATGTTTGGCCATATTTCAGCATTAGCATCGATTAGACTATTTTATAAAATACAATTAAAATAAATGTTATTGCAAACCTTGAATGAAGATCCAGACTTGATGAAATTTTTTTCCAATACATTGTCAAGAACCGGATCTATTTCTTCTCCAACATCTTCTATTAGTAAAGGTCTTCCAAGTGAAAGAGCATCCTCAAGATGAGTACGAAAATATTTATGATTGAGAGTTGTCGCCTTGAAGTATTTAATACAGAGCATTATAGACTTTCGAACATGATAAATCAAATTCATATAAAAACAGCAGAAAAGGTGCAGGAATCAAACAATTTATAACAAAACATTACAAAATTATTTGAAAAGTAGTATGGACGTGCGTTCGTAAAACTGTTCCCATTTTCTTGAGACTGGGTCAATGATCTTGTCGAAAAGCAATTATTTATATCCTCTTAGATAGTTTTGATAAAAACCTTTTTGTTTATGTATCATCATAGTTGAAAGAAATATATACTAAAAAATAAACCTGCAAATCATTTTGTGATTCACGATTCTTGATCCAAGTTTTTCCTTGAGTTTGTGGATCAATTATAAGTGGAAAACGGAGCGCTTTTGTCACAATAATTCCATTCTGCACTGATAAATCATCACTTGGCAAACCCTGTGAATAATATAAAACAATATTGAAACAGGAATTTTATATGTGATCAAACTGGTAAAGTAAAGTTTGAAGTTACAAAGAAAAACGCTTGCCTGTAAATTCCAATCATTTATAGTTGCACTTTCTTCTAGCATTGATGAAATGTTCAGATTCTATAATAAAAATAATATAATATTTACCCTATATAAGCAGGAGATTCTACAACCATTCCCAATTTCTCATTCCAGTTTCAAATAATTCAAAGTACATCATTTATGTGACAAAATGATAATATATTAAGGTAAGTTACTTAGTTTGCTGTAATTTCGCTATCAATAATACTCTATGCAAACAATAAATGTACTAGACTTGTAACTACAAAAATCCCGATTTAATGCATATTACAAATATCAAATAATGAAAACTAATCCAACTCATCCTGATTCTGGAGATCTATTTAAGCTAAATGACTCACTTCACCTTTCTTCAGATGAATGATAACTATGAACAAGTGTTTCATGTCAGAATTGATGGAAACTAAATAAATGATGGTTAGTTTAAAAGCTTGCAAAATTGAACAATGTGAAACTAAAAAATATATTTTACTGTAAAGTTTAGTAATCTAGATAAAAGAAAATGAGTAAATGAATCTACTAGAGATGAATGATTTTTAAAATATAAAAGAGTGACAATAGTCGCAGATCAATTATCAGTAATATTGTTTCTTCTTGATCATGAACTAAGATCACTGAACTGAAGAACTAAATTAAATAAAATAATATGCCTCCTGTAACCTTGATCACAGTGAATGCCACATCAAATGCTTTGGATATTTCAGAAGCCTTTGATATAGCCTGGCATCATCAATTCTTATGTAAAATTATATTATATACATAGTATATCTGGTGAAATTTTTGTAATCACAATAGGTTTCTATTAGATTTCAGGATAAATATGAAAAAACTGTATATGTTTGGACTATGTGTACTGAAACCAGCATTTAGTCTTACGAAAAAGTCTTGTCTACTTTTTGCTACACAACTAACTGATGCAAGTTCCACAATTAGTAATATGATTAGAAAAGCCTATATATATGATTTTTAACATCGAAAGCTTTGTGCTCACCTCAAAAAATAGAACCTTATGTTTTCTCAACTCTTTTTTCCATGAATTAATAAGTTGAGTGCGAAATTCTTGATTGAAAGGTCCGGAATAAGATAAAAATCCACAACAAAGTAATACGTCACCAACCAACCTATTGATTTCCTAAGAGAGGATAGTGATATTTAGTAAATTTTTTGAAGAAGTTCTGAATTTGGTTATAGAATATGATTTATTCATATGGAGCAAGTGTCTGGTTCTCAGCATAATTAGATATGGGATTATTTTTAGACAGTAAATGTATATTCCAAAAAATTCAAAAGTCTTGACACATACTGACACAAAATTATATCTATATGGCTGCCACATATGAATGTGTCTTGTAAATAGAAGTATTAAAATTAATTAATAGTTATAAATAAAGATGAAAGCCATTCAAAAATATGGTGAGTCTTTGAAGTTTCGAAATTTTTACATAGAACAACAATACTTGGACTACCACCATGAGATTTCACTATAAAAATTTTTTTGAACATTAGTTAGAAAAAAGCATTGTTCCGAGAAGCATTGTAGTTGTTACTACAACTCTTTTCATATTAGCAAGGTTATCGTAATTTGATTCTATCTTGGAATCCAGTAAAATGTGTTAATTTAACACTGTCAAAATAGGCTTTCAAATTTTTCTGTACATGTTTTCAATATACGATAATGAATAGCCAAATGAACTTTAAATATTCAACGCATATTTCATTTCTCAAAATCTGAGCATGCATTCACTGTGTCACACACCAGTACAACATGACATATAGACTTATCACAATTACTCAAATTAATAATAATAAGCACTAATATGAACAAAGTCTTACAACATCACTTACTTTAGGCCCCACATATAGACCAGACGGAATATTTCACTCAATCAAAATCCAGATTCCAAAAATTTTTCTTTATAAAATTTGACATTTTTTGTGAACTAGAATAAATGTTTTTTCACCTGCTGAAATCTTCTACTTGCTTCTGTCCAGCGGATTTTTTCTCCACCTAAACCATTGATCAAAGTTTTTGCATTTGTCATCTTTCTTTTACAGGCCTCAGCATCATCTATCAAAGCCTAATGAATAAACATATGAATAGATCAATGTATCCCATCCAGTGATTAGGTTCACTATCAATCTAGGTATTTAAATTAACCTATGTTGGAACATGCCATGATTTAAAAACATATTTACAAAGAATTTTCAACCCCCTCCCAAATAAGGTTGTCTCACATACACAATGCAAGTAGTGTTTGATGAAACCTACCGTGCATTTACACATTCTAGGGAAATTTTAACTCCAAGAATATATCGATATCTCAATCGACTCCAATAGTTGAATATATTCGAATATCATTACCTCCAAATATTGTTTCTAGTGTTTATAAGAATATAATATTTTCGTTCACATGCGCACACATCTATGATGACATCTTTTGGATGTTTTGTTTAAAAATAATTTACAATGATTATTTTATTGTGTTTGGGTATAGTCGTCAGATATAATCAATCACAGCTAATGATGATGATAGTTGATGATGTTGTTGATGATGATGATAGCATAATGGCATTTGCTTTCATATGATCGAAGAATCAGTTTTGCGAAAAAAATATGAATTAATCATTATGTCCATGGTGACACAAGACACAATAGTTGTTTAAAGGGATACTACTGAGATAAGTAGAAGTGACGAGATTTTAGCTTACAAATGTTGGTAGGTTTAATAAAACTCGCAAAGCACGCTAACAAAAAACAGTCAGAATTTAAAATGAAAATTAGCCATGTGAAACAATGTTTGCCCTCTTTGATTCCACTGCAAAATTTAAAACGTTCCTAGTTGCCCTTATTTCTGTACTAAATAAATCTCATTTCTCAATCAGAAGCAAGAGAACTTTAAGTTTCAACCATGTGGCACGTGATTTTTTTTTAATGTATTCGGAATAGTGCAGTATTAGATCATGGCCAATTCGAGTACCTGTTTGTTTTGCATTGCAGAATCATAGATGGCTTGCACTTTATCAAGTTCAGCTTGCTTTTCATCCAGTGTTGCTTGTGCATTAGCAAGATCTTCATTTGCTACAGCAAGTCTTTTTTCTTGAATGACTAGATTAGCCTACAAAACAATTGGAATGCAGGATTGACGACAACAAAAGTTTATGAAAATCATGACTTTCCCAAAAGCATAAAATTTTGAAAGATACAATAGCTTAAAATTACACTGTTATAATGAACAATAAATGAGTTTGTAAAAAGTGATCGTTCTGAAAAAAATATATTTGAAACTGACTAATCAGATATTTGTTGAATAGAAAACAATTAACTTCAACTGAAGTTACTGATTATATATTGCCAAATGACAAAAACTAAAAACACACCTTTAGGGGCAAGACTTCTCTGTTTATACCATAGAAAGTAGCCATAGCTTCAGTCCATGAACATAAGCCAGCCACATTGCCGCACACTTTTTTTGCACTTTCAAAATTGTAATCTTCCTGTGTAAGATAAGGCTCCATCAAATCAACTGTTTCTGCCGTGATCGAGTCCTGTTAGAAGTTCAAGAATTCGAAGTGCTCGCCAAAGAAATGATCATTGTCTTGAAGAGTCAACCATAGAACTACTACCCCATTCGAGAATGAAATAACTACTTTGTCTGATAATTGCTGGGAGCAATATTAAAATTAGCGCATCATAATCAGTATAAAATTCTTTTACTAAGGGCTGGGGTATTGATTAGTGTTTGTTTCTCAACATAGAGGTTGCGACAACGGGAGCAATTTTTATGTATCAAAAACAATAAAAGCAGACAATTCTCTGGAAATCTTGATATCTCATACAACCATTGTTAAACACTACATCATTGTTTTTTCAGTTTTTTTACACTGTATACTGCAACATATGTAATGTAAAGGTTTAATTACAATACTTTAAAATTACCTTTGGAAATTCTAATAATAAAGTCAAAAACTTTGAATCATTCAATAATTTCTGAGCTTCACTCCAAGAAGGTTTTATACATGGTCGTTCAGGATCTTGTTCAACTTTATTGATTTTTCTCTGAAAATTAGAAAATTTCATAAAACATGTAAAAAACAAGATAACAATCAATAAATGATAGACTGACCAATATTTATATTGATAAGAACAGTTTATCCCAGCTTAAAGTTTTCCAAAAACAATACATAATATTTTTGTAAGTAAACATTATAATGGTCTACACACCTGCATCAATATGAGAACACAATCCATAATCCTCATGATAAGATGTGGAGGTTTTCCGAGCTTTCTCACTGTTGCAATATCTGCCGGTTTGATAGTCTTGGAGGAAAGTAAAATATAAATATTTCCATATGCAAATGCTTAGTTTTTAAATAAATAAATTGGCATATTTGTCTATTTTTATTCAAGAGTCTTGCTGCACATTAACACAAATGTATTCCTGTAACGTTTCGTCTGACCGAGGTCAGACTTCTTCAGACAAGCATTTTTTTATGTACATAAATAATGATTATCAATTGTTTGGTCAGTTTTCAATTAGGAGAAATAAAATTGAGTATACTGTCAGAACAATTGGGAAGTCAAGTTTAAACGTCAATCAATGATTATTCCACAGTTCAGTGAGTAATTCAAACAATTTCATTTTGTTATCTAGGAACTCTGATAGTATCGTCCGCAAGAGGAATGAAAGCTAGTCAATTTTGTGTAATCCAACTGATAGTTTTGTTGCTATTTTTACAAAATTTTGATTCAGAAAATTAACAATGATTCCTGACGATCTTTTAAACTGTCATAATTGGTTGAAATAGACAGGAAGAAATCCATTTTGTACAATTATGATTTTAGAATTACCGTATATCTATTCAGCACAATTGTCAAAAAATGAGAAGCAATTTTCTTCGAAGTACTTCTAACATAATTGTGAATTAATAATACAAAAGTATATCATGGAATACATCCCTAATGTAAGATTGAAAATTAATTATGATATCATTGCTTTATCTATCCTGAAACGAACTTGTAAAGCTTCTTCTGCAGCCTTCAGTGCAGGTTTAGCAGCTTCCAGCTTTGTTTCAGCAAGTTTTTTATCCACCGTTATTACATCTGCTACAGCCTGAGCCTTGTCTTTGACTTTTTGTACCTGTAATTGTACAGTAACATGATTAAATCATCATTCTTTGCTAGAAAATAGAACAAAACTGATGAACTGAGACAATATATCAACAGTAAGAACAAAATCTATAACTTCAAAAGCTACTACCGGTATATAATTTCTTTAAGATTTTGTCAAATACTGTTGATTTACAGACTCGATTTTTTTTGACATTTCTGATATTTGCATTGACTACTGCAGGTGACAAATCTTTTGGTTTTGAATAAGTTTCTAGTAAAAGTCTGCCACAAACACATATCTTGAATGCATAAAGCGTACCTGAGCTTTAACTTTTTCAGCAGCAGTAGCTGATGCAGTGACTGTTATAAGCACTTCATCTGCCTTCTTGGAGGCAACAACAAGATCTTTTTCCTTTTCCACCAGCTCTGCAGACAGTTGATTCACGGATTGTGTCGCTTCTACCAGTTTGTCCAAACCTGTTGAATTTCAAATTAAGGCATTGAAAACTCTCTACAAGTCTACAGTATAAAAAAATAAATGAAAAATTAAAAAAAAAAACCTGTATTCATTCTCTGAGCAAGATTCCCAATAAATTTCAACTTTTCAGAATATATTGTTTTATAGCTGTCAAGAAAGGACAAATACGATTTTGGGGTGACATGTGTCTGTCTACGAAATCGTTCAAAATATTCAATGCACGTTTCAGCCACTATATCCTGATAATATAAATACATCATATTTACTATCTGTACTAAGATAAGTAACTTTAAAATACTACGTCAAAGTTAACATGAAAATATAAACTCACTTAATCATTAAGCATTGGTTAAGGTCACTTTATAAATTGGACTGAAGCAATTTCAATTACTATCAATTTGTTTCCATGATGGCAACACTGAGTTAACAATGACTGATTAAACTTAAACTGCATTACTTGATTAACTAATAATTTGGTGGCAGAACAAGTATTCCTAAAATATTGTACAATTAGAAAGACAGCCACCATGATATGTTCATAATTTTGTCTCAGGCAGATATTAGGTAACTATTTATTCAGACATGTCAGGAATGTATTCTGCTTAAATAAATACTGGTTTCAAGAAATTTCTACAAATTCAAAATCTTGTCTTGCTGTTTGCAATGTTTCATTCATTTTGCCCTACAAACACAAAAGTTTCCTGCAGATGAATTTAGTGTGATGAGCATAAAATTCAGATACCGGTAGTCAATTTCCTGGCAAACAATTTAAGAAACGAATCAATATACCTGGAACGATCCCATGACATGATACAAACTTTCTTTCATCTCACTTGTACACTGAATTTCAAAATCCGAAATAAAATGCTTTGCAACTGCAACCAAAGCATCATGTGGCCATCTTGAAAACCAGTCAATTGTGCAACCTGAAATAAGCCCAGGAAACTTCATTGATCTTGAGCGAAATTTTTCTCCAACCTGAATAAAGTTGAAAACTTTTAATATCGTTTTGATGTGATTAATTGAAATATACAATTAAATGTAAGTCATATAATTCGACTTTTAAAAATACAAGAATTCTGCCAGATTTCTCAGTATTTTCTTTTGAAGAGTCGTCACAAGAACTGTTAAATACTGTAGCATAATTGAAGTAAAGGACTGTGGGATTTTCATATCTCTTTTTGCGCTGATTTCCCTGGGGTCATTTTGTATGGATCACTTTCAAAATTTTTTTTTTATCAACTGTTAGGCTCTAAAGATTCACTCATGGCTTTTTACGAGAGTATGCTAGCTTTAAAAACCACTCCTCTAATGATAAATTTTTTATGCGATCAAATGCCCAAGAATTTGTAAAAAACAACCTTGAACTTGAGAGTAGGTGTGCCTAGTAGAAGAATAAGAATTTTACCACCTTTTACTAAGCCTGGCTAGGTGAATTTTTTTATATACACAACAAAAACTGTAATTTTTAAATTTTCAAAAAATGATTAAAATTTTCTGGTGTTTGTTTATTGATAGATACATATTTCTTATGATAACCAGTGGGATTGTTCCAATGCAACGACAGAATACATTTCTGAGTGCGCTGCCATTTCAATTACCGGTAATTATTAATGACTATTTTGAAGAGGAACACACAACTATACAAACACAAAATACCTGCATCAAATAAATATGCTGCTTTCGATTTTCTCGATTATGCAACCAATTTTCTGAATTTAGCAATATGATTTATAGGTTCTCTCTATATCCCAAATCAATTAACACCCACCATTTCATCAAATTATAGAAGGGCTCCATCATGTAATAGTCCTCTTTTAAGATCAACTACAACTAAGCATGATTAACTAAATATAAGTTAATAAACTTACTGGTGAAAAACACAGGACAACATGAAGATTACTTTTTACTCTGCTGATAAAATAATCATAAAGATTTTCATTTGTAGGAGGACGCCGGGGATATTCTTTTTTCATGACAGGAATCAATTCATTTGTGATTTCATCGATTTCGTCTCGTGCAAACAAATTAGAAAGCTGGAAAGCAACAAAATAACTTTCATAATTATTGTCGTAAATTGTTCAACTAGTTTTACAACTTTTCTTCAAACAAAGCTTTGGACAAGCACGCACTGATTCACAGAATTTCCACAATTTGGAAAGGTTACTTGAAAGATGTTTAACCATCATTACAGTGGTAACTACTACTAAAACAATGAGATAAATGAAGTTGTAGAAACAAATGAAAAAATTTCTTATAAGGAACGAAACAAGTTTAATGATTGTAAAGTGAAATGACATCATATCTTGTATTTATAATAATATACAAGGTTAAACCAAATACCGGACATGAGATGGTGGGGCCCCCAAAATATTTGCGCTGTTGACATTTGATTACCTTGTGTTTAAAAAGAGAAGTCTACAATATATTGCTGCAATATTTGCAAATGGAAAGTATGTCTAGCAGAGAAGTTCGGTAATGAATTGGCTGAACAATAAAATCCAAGTAATCTAATCAAGTTGAATTCCTTTGCACAAACTTATGTTGCTAGACACAGTTGAGCTCTGCATTAAACTGTAACATTTTGATACAAACCTCTCCAGAAGCTAAAACATTATTGAGATATTCCAAAAATGCCTCTTCCTTAACTTCATTATCAGTGAATATGAATGTAATTCCTAATCCTTCTAATCCTGCATTCCTGTACAATATTTTCAAATCATCAAGAAGATTGCTAGTATTGTAGGATCTATAAATAAAAATGAAACAAATAAAAAAAACTATTTTCGAAGCCCTTGTACAGTCGAGCAAATAGCAAGCAACTAAGAGCAAGAATAAGAAGATAAACAGTGCCAAATTCAAGTATTATTTTACAATTGATTATGTTATATCTACAAATCTAGTCAATTGCTGATCAAAGGGCATTCATTCATTTATGATACATTATGAAATGTGATTTAAATGTCCACATGAACACTCTGCAGTAACATGACTTGTGATGATGATAGTATTTATGTAGCAAGTCATTGCCTTATATTATAGTCCCAACCACCAAATATTAATAAACACAGAACTTTTATGTTGTGTTTAATATATCAGGGTGTTACGGGTCAAATTTTATCATTATTTATCAGACCACGAATATGCAAATGCAAGTAATTATTCATCAATTACTAATTACAAGTAACTTAGTTAGAGCTTATTTTGATGTTATTATGAACTTAATGTAAATATACCTTGTCAATGTAATTTGAAATGATTTATATCCAGCAATGAATGATGTCAGTCTTGTCAGGGATTGCTTTCCTGATCCACCCACTCCAACCAATAAAGCATTTCCTCTGGGAGTGTTCAGAACACGAGATATTTTGACCAAATGGGTCATTGCATCCTATGCATTAACCAAAATATGATTTGGTTAATTTACGATTAGTTAGATATTAAAATATATGAAAGTACCAACCATATAAAAATTAAATAGTTGACTAATGATAACAATGTTTTATTTTTCAAACCATAATAACATAGCTAAAAAAGATTTTTGCTTCACAGGTTAATATTGATAAAAAAATAGTGTTTGTATTATCACAATTTTTTTTTGCCTATTTCATGTGTAATGTTCACATGTTTTGACTGCGGTGCATGCTAATCATTATTTAATTCTGTATGTCATTCCAAGTACAAAATGCGAGATAATATTGTAAAAGGAGTTGAAGCAAAAATATGGAAACTAAACAACAGTCTCATAGAGGGGAGTAATCCTTACAGTAAAAAATACTAGATCCATCCCAGCTCCCCTAATAGCCTCATTATATTGAGTCATGAACATTTTTAACCGATCTCTCAATTCATCCATGGAATTTATTGGTTCATAGATTTTAGGAGCATCAAAACAAGCATCATCTTCCTCTTCTCCTAAAAAGCAGAAATTTATGAATAGAAGTGATATTTTGAATAATTTGCTATTGCCATCATCTACTACTTGGATACTAATAAGTTTAATTTTTATATCAACAATTTATATACCCTAACAAGGGTCAAAATTGAAGTTGTGTGCACTATTGCAGCATGTCTAATTGAATATGAAAATGCTGCGGACATGCATTTTTCGTTTATATTACAACAAAGCACGATCTATACAACTCTTTTGTCGCGTCTAACTAAGAATTCATAAAATCACCAAAGACCGCATGCATGCATTCATACCAGTCATCTCTGGGGCATCACGAAGAAAATCAACAAAATATGGTTCTTTTGCTAAATGAGATGAAAATTCAGCCCCAAGTATTTCTGTCCCAACCTATCATAAAAAAGTGATGTGTTAATAATGTCAAAACAAGACAAATAATAAACTAATCGAAGATGCATAAAATAAACCGTGAATACACACAATGAATGTTTGTATTATAAAGGTTGGTTTTGCCAAAAGTACTTCTCCCAGATATAATGCTTAGATGCCATATTCTGTATCCCAATGTATAGCTATCAGTATGTACTACAAACAAAACTATTTGTAAGTGCCATGGATCACTTGGATTAGATCTATCAATCTGTAATAGAACCTACAAAGATTTGGCTATCATACCATAGTTTATAAATGTGGTCACAGTTTGAGAAAATTCTTAGCAAAGAATATAATGAACTTGTAATAATCATAAGCACCTTTAAGGATCTCTGTTACCAATGACATTTGAGACATGCAGAATCCTAACAGGATTTTACAGGCTTTAGAAATAGAAGAACAATTGAAAGCGCATGTTTTTTTTTTTTTTGTGGAAACCTAAACTACTATATAATACACTTCTGGAATCTGGAGAAAAAGCATTTTTTCATCAGTCGCTATAAATCGATAAATGTCTGAATACATTTTTTAAAGCTTTGTGAAACCATGCAGTGTCTTGGGAGTTGACAAATCTATCAGCTACCACTCTTGTACATTCATGCTTCCAGAGTAAAATGATAGTTTCCTCAGATGTTCCAACTTCACTTGTCATTTGAAGCATACCCTGTAATAAATCATAACTAACATTATTTCAATATTTTCAGCACAGAACAAAATAAAATAGAATAACTAATATATACATCGTAGAAGATACAATGCCAAATCATTGAATAAAGCTAATTATAATATCCATGGATCAAATATAATGCTACTTAATAATGTAAAAACAATGCAATCTAAATTAGCAGGCAATGGATATTTACTTGTGTTCTGACTTTTTTTGTAAAGTGAGTTAACACAAAAATATTAGACACAAAATCCAGGTAATAAAAAAGAATTCCACAAAGAAGAACAGCACATCAGGTACAATATTAAATAATGATCCCATTAGTATACAGTACCTGCCATATCCTACTCAAATCACGAAGATTAAATATATAGTGAAATTTAGCTGGAGTTGGTAGCATTTTTCCTTTCACCACTTGCCATAGTCTACGGGTTGCAGGAACTAACTTCACTATCAGTGACGTAACAGTCTGAGTGAAATTTCTTTCCTGGAATTACAAGCAACAAATTACCTGATCAAAACTAAAGTGAAATAAAGAAGAAGTCAAATTAAAACCCTAATTGAGTAACTGATTCAAATCTGCATTTCATTTTGAACCTCACAAACTTTAGTCATAGTTGATTCAAGGATTATAACTGATATTCAATTTAGGAGTAAAAAATACCAATTTTCAAAAATGCAATTAACAAAATCATGCCAACTTGCTAGGTGTTGTCCGAGAAGATATTAAAGTAAACTATACCTCACAAAAATATCCACATCCAATTGTTGAAAATATTTTATCAATTGAAGCATTTGATGGTAAAGTGCAATTGAAAATAGTGAACTGCCTCTTCAATCTTTGAGGAATATCATTCCTTCCACCACCAGGTTGTATCATTGCAGCAACAAATTGAATATCAACTATGTTTGTGAAATCTCCTGGTTTTTCCAGGCTGAAATGAAAATCATGAAAAAGTAAAATAAAAGAAGTAGTTTCCTGGCATCTAACTGTAGATTGAATAAATACAATGTAGCTTTCAAGAGGCACAATTTGGGCTTCATATTCACAAATTTACAAGACAGAAAGACAAGATATTATGTAATAATAGTCACACATTAAAAATGAAAACTGAAACATAAATTTGTTTGAACATGAGTTTGAATTGACATGTAGTGAAAAAAATTTGTTGAAGTCGATAATATAAAAGAAGTTAGAACTGGGACATTTTGAGACTCGCACATATTTCTGGCTTCCTGCTTGTGGCTCATATACTGAAAGATATTGCCAAAACCTATCATATTACAAGAGAAGAGATTCAATTTTCTAGTATAAGTAAAATATATTTTCAATTTTATAGTAAAATATCACTTATATTATATTTTTCTAACAAAGTGTTTATTGAATAAATAGCTCTGACTAACATATTTTCAGTGATTCAAAATACGGTAAAAACATTAAATTACTGACACAAAATCAAACCTACTTGAAGAACCCTTTGGCTTCCATTAGTTGTCGAACAATTTCGTTTGTAATTTGATCGCCCCATTCATTAATAATTGGCATATTGATATCGTCAACAAACACTGTCATTTTTTTACCTGCTGGAGGGCCAAATGTGGTTCCGACTCTTTTATCAACATAACTCTCAATCGTTCTCTAATTTATAAAAATATAAAGTAACTTCAAATATTCTGGCATGAGAATAATAGCTTCACGAAAATTCTAACATTTCCAATATGTTACTTTTGCAAGTGCAAGTGTGAGAAGTGGATATATAATATCTAATACTTAATATTTTAAAGACTAGTATAATATACTGTAAAAAAGGTGCAATTTTGAGGGAGATTGCATTGTTTCATACATTTTCAATACATATTTCTCCACTGATCATACAAATTTTGTTAGTCACACCTAAGAATGAGAGAATAAAAATATTCCATACAAAATTTTATCATACTCATTTAATCTTACGTAATTTATTCATAAACTAAACCTAATAGTTATTTTTCATGAACTGTGTTATTCAATAAATATAATATAAATCAGAATAAAACCTGAAACATAAGTGGAGTAGTTGCTGATGAAAAATTCAATGATTTCGTCATATGAACTTCTGGATTGTACTGAACATTCATATAACTTTTAATCATCACAGTTTTTGCAGTTCCTTGCTCACCTATCAGCAATACAGCCTTTTCCTTGAAATTAAACATGAGGATAATATGAAAATTTGATTATGAAATAGGTTTTTAATCTTTTTACATTCCTTGACAAACTGTGGGGGGAAAGTGAACCTGCCTCGTTCATGAAGCACAAGCCATTTAAGGATTCATTTTAAAAAACTGTTCGTTATTGGACAGCTAATTATTTTTTAAGCAATTTCATGGATAACTACAAACTACCGGTACTGGCAAATTGAGTTCGGCCTGGAAACGAGCGGATTTGAAAGTGGAAATTTTCTGACCTGTTTCATGATATTATGCATTAGGAAGTCCATTCGAACATTATCTACATTTGGAACAAGTATTGATAAATACTCAGGCACACTGTCAGTTGGATATTCATACACAGGAAGTCTGTTTGACCAGTGTTCCCATTCACCATGATCATTCACCATATATTCAAATATAGTATGTGATTCTCCTGAAATCAGAACAATATGAGTTTTTTATTTTTATCGATGTGAATCAGTTTTCAACTTCCATCCATTCAACTCTTCAGCATGCTCCACACCAATTTTTTTTAAATTTTAGTTCTATTACGTGTTCGAGGACTAGCCAAGTGACTCCCATAGTATTTGTATCTAAAATTATGGCCTAACCCTAATCTGGTACACATAATACGTTCCGGTGTCCGTCATCTTGGTTTGCATATTACAGAAGTACCATACTTTTCACACATAACAGTCTTATTCTTAATAATTTATATGGAAAAGTTTGTTATAACCAGGTATCGGTAGAAGAATGTCCATGCAATTTACTATTATGGCCAGCAAAGGGTTTATTTAGTGATAATGAAGGTCGTATTCTGAATGACTCTTCAACCCAAGCGATGCAATAACCAGTGGATATAAAGTGATAATAGCAAGACTGTGTCTATTCTGTTCCGGTTTTATCACCTTATCTGCCTATGATTAATCACTATTTTTTTGAATGCATCTATCTGCAAATTAGTGCTTTATTTAAAATCCAAAAACTCATGTGAATGGAAATTTGAAAAAATAAATACAAATCGTGCTACCCGTAGACGAAAATTACTTTCAAAACAAATTTAGAGATCTGAATCTGAAACACTGACGTGAAAAAGCTTCTGGCGACGTGAGAGAGGAATGGAAATCAGCTATACAAGACATACACAGAGACTACTAATGTCTCATGATTCATATGCTAGAATTTGTCTGTGTATTATCAAAGAAGAAATATGGTTTTACCTTCTGGCATTGCAGGCAAATCCGGAACACCATGCTGTTTCTTATGTTCATACAAAAAAGTTTGAAGTTTTTCACGATCAGGTAATTCGAGTAATGCACCAAGAGACCACATAATGGCAAACAAAAAGAGCCTGAAAAACAACTTATGGTTGGGTAATGAACCTATGTTCTTCTGTGGCATTAAATTATTTACTGTGTTTTTTCGTTGTTTATATTAACAAGCCTTTACAACATAAAACAAATTAAAAAGTAAACCTCACATACTTCATCAATTCGATCAATTTTCAAAGGAACAAAAAATCAAATAAATATCTGTTATACCTCTCGAGATGTGATTTTTTCATATGCTTATATCCATCTTCTGCTTCAGGGAGAAGACCATTGATTAGTTTCAATGCCTGTTGCACATACATACATTCGAGCAAGTCCATTGTTGGAAAAAGCATTGTGGACATATATTGATATGTTGCTGACAAAAAGGCAAAATCACACAAGCTAAAACAATTCTTTTGCAAAAAGATTAATGTTGATAGAATAATTTAATTATTTCAATTCGATCAAGGCTTTACAGAAAACACATGCAACATCTTGTATTGATCTAATTAATACTTGTATAAATGATAATTGGTTACAAAAATTAATGATAGACCACGAATATCAAAATTTTTGTCGATGAATATAACATTTGATAAAATCTAGGAATTTAGACGTTAAACAAATGATGACAATTACTAATTACCCGGAAAAACAGATTCAAAAGCAGGAAGTAGAACTTCTGACATTAGATTTGGAAAATTTTTCAACCACGCTTTCGTGATCGGTTCCCAGTCCATAATAGACGAACTCATATAGACCATTCCTGAAATATTGAAACAAGTGTATATCATATTTTTCAGCATGGAATGAAAATCACATCAGCATAGGGATGAATGTCCCATACTTTACAAAAAGAAATCAAAGTACTTGTATTATTGTATTTGTATTATTAATAATATATATTAGATAACCTAACACCCAATGACATACCTAGTTTATATTATCTCAAGCACAAATACTGTTTTAACTATTCCCTTTTCTAATAATGTTTTGCAGGCAAACAACAAAAAGACATTTGATTGTAATCCTCACCTACAGAGAAATCCCTTATGAATGATCATATTATGATCATCCTATAAAATATTTTTTATCAGAAGTTTTTCATTATTTCTGTAAAATAAATATTTGCACAGTCAGTACAGAGAAAACACCCATACTGAAAATGATAGATTTTTATACAAATCGCAATGAAAATTGAATTCTACTTATCAGTATCCGTCAGGTAATTTTAAAATACACACCATTCCTTGAAACTGTTGCTGGTGAGGCATTATCAATATTATGAGGTTCAAATATAATTTTGCAGTTTGGTGCCATTGGTATACGATCTCCATTAGCAAGAGTCAGAGTTTTATTGTCATCCAACACAGAATTCAAATTTTCAATCCATATTGCATCAACAGGTCCATCCAAAACCAACCAAACATTTTCATTCTGAATGTGTATTTGAAAATATTGTTAATTTTTTTCCACATGTAATAAGTTGTAACACTTCTACAAGGCAGTCTTAATTTTAACAATATCTTACTATGCTTGCATTCCCATATTATCTGAAAATACTACTGGTTTCATGCGAATTAGATAGATGTGATGGCCAATGCATTGGACAACAACTGTAACATTGAAGTACCTTTTTAGTTTTATGAGTTCTTCTCCACAATGTACTAAAAATACCATCAGTCCAATCATTTGTTGCCACATCAAGCAGTCCAAACATTTGTGATGCAGTGATAGCTTTTGGATTCATTCGCATTTCTCTGTGAGGGCTGAAATATGACAGATTTATTTTAATTACCAGTAATAAAATAAAACAAACTCATCTTTACGTTCGCATACACATATTAAACCTAAATACCCAATAAATTTTAATTATGTCGTAACTAGAATTTAAAAAATGTGAATTGATTAGGAATATGCTGGAATAACGAAATTTATGATAAGCATAAGCTAATGACTTTCATCTCAGCTGGTAATAACAACTAATATACCAAATTCAATGTAGTAGTTCGAAGCCAATTTTCCCCTGACAAACCTGCCACATTCAGTCATTGTTTTCATCAACGTATGGATGCATGTTGTTTTACCAGATCCACTTGGTCCTAATGTCATCATACCATGTCGTACTCTTTGTGTCTCATACAATTGAATCAACTTCAATACCCAAGGTGGATGAAATATCAAACCAAATTCTTCAACCTGATAATGGGGGCATGTACTTAGCTAACTGTGTGTGGATATGCATAAGAATCGATAATTGTTTTTGAAAAAGCAAGATAGAGAGTAAAAATTACACTTGCATTTGTCAAGTACATTTCACCTTTCGTATGAAAAAATGAGAATACCAGATATTGTTGCACATTATCACAAATGTAGTTAACGACCGGAATAAACTAATAGGCATTTGCATATAGTTCCAGAACTCAAACCATAGCATTTGGGTAGAAATTTTTTTGCCATCCCCATACTTTCAAAATATGATTTTGATATGTATCAAACAAGGCAATGAAATGTAGTACTCTCATGATAGTGGTGAGAGAGTTTTGGTATCATGTTTTATAGCTGATTTCAAACATCCTACATAAGTAAACTAATTCTCTCACAATGCTTTGGCCGGAATTTTAAATAGCACCAATCAAACAGGGTATGATTCCAAAAACAGCATCCATAATCAGTTTCAAGGTCAGGTATGGGATTTGCTAACCAGACTACCAATGTTTCTGACCAGCATTTTCTTTAAGCCTATTCTTTGCAAAAACTTGAGGTGAAAATTGTTTTTCACTTAGTCTTCCCACACTCCACTATGTCTCAGCTAGTATGTTTTACATTAGTTTACATTAATTTTTTTATATGTTTCAGTGTATGGTAAAAGCACATTTCTTGATTAGATAAATGAACAAATACCTGATGTAGTATTGCAGCTTCAACTGCAGGATAACCAACTTTATCGAGTATAATTCCAGGAAACAAATCATTTATCAGTGATAGGAATAAAGGTTCATCTTCGTCAACAAGTTTTGATAAATTCATATCTCGCAAAATTCTCATTACAATAGTCATTTCAGAATCTTCAGGATTTGATCGTTTACTTGCACCGAGAGTTCGCAATACCGATAAAATATTACGTAACCCAAAATCATAATGTACCTGCACAGTAACAAGGTGAAAACAAAAATCTCAAAAAATTTATAAGTTGGGGAAATTTCATATTTAGTTTATCAATCGGGTTTTTCATACCATCTCACATTACAATGCAGAAAAGATGCATCAAAAAATACTCACAAATCAGACTACAGCGGAAAAGAGTTTCATGGACAACACAAACTAATTTTCAAGATGATAGTGTTAAAATTAATTTGAATAAAGCACATATCCTCAATCATTTTCTTGCATATCAAGTAGGTAGTAGTTTCGTAAAAAACAGTATTTACACTTTCAAGATATAAATTTATCTAGGTAAACTACGGTAATTTAAATTCTCTGGCTATATAACCTGTTTGGTAAGTTGTTCTTCACAGAGCTTATACAAAGTATAAAATTTTCTTGATAAATGAATATTTTCAACAAATCCACATGCAGCCAATTTTACTCTCATTATAATTTGTCGATCTGGAACCATCATGGCAACTAGACGAAAATTAATTTTCAAATTTTCTGGTAGTTCTTGTCTTCCAGCATATCCTGGATTCTAGAATGAAGACACTCAAGAATGAAAAGTCAGGAAAACAAAGGAAAATCAAAATTATTTATAAAATATTGAATAACTGACCTGTATAAGATAAACTGATATATACGTTAGTATAAAAATGATTTTTTTTTCTGAAAATTCTTATCATGGAATGTGATTTATTTGTTACACAGAAAAAACACAAAACAATTAAAATAGAAAAACAAGCAGCATATTATCATGAAGAAAAATAATATGAAAATGCATTATGAATTACCATGGTCAAAAATAATCCAAATTCAGGATTCAAAGATACAACATCACCATCAGTGAATATAAATTGTTTTTTCCTTTCTTTCTTAGCAACAAGAACTATTGAAATCTGTTGAGCCGCAACTGACAGCACAGGCAATTCAATGCGATTAAATTCATCAAAACAGCCCCAAGATCCTGATTGAGCAAGTCCTATAAAAAATATAATTGTATGAAATGAATCAAATACAAAAATAGCAAAAATTATTGACCTAATTTTAAAATAATTTGAACAGAAAATGTTAAATGTTTGAAAGAAATTAACAAATATACTATCTAATATAACTAATACTACTATCTAATATGTTCAGCTGAACATGAATGACACCAATTTCAACCTAAATGAATATTTAAAAACGGCATTCGTGTAGTAATAATTCTGAATTTTATTCAACTAAATTCTTTGTACATTCCTAACTACCGTATTTATTATCTCATGATTAACAGAAGACAATTTTCAATTACTATTCACAGAAACTCTTTTATCTGAACATGGAATATCTTTGAAAATAAACTCCAAAGGTTTGAGAAAAAGTAAACTCATGAAACATACCTTTGTAGATTCTCCCTAATCCACGATAATCCATTTGATCAGAACAATTGAAAACAACAACATATTTTCCAAGGCATTTCCCCATATCCTTGGTTGTTTCTGTTTTTCCAGTTCCAGCAGGGCCTGCGGGTGCTCCTCCTAAACTCATTCCAAGAGCCTGGGCAAGTGTGATGTAGCACCTGTATTATTTGATAAATAATATTTGCTGAAAAAATATTATTAAAATGCCTATTAAGAGTTATAGAAGGATTTATAATGGTTCCAGATTGGTGGTTCATTGTTATCATAGTGTTAGTTGAACAGGAGTCGACACAATTATATTAACAAACGTTTCTAAGATAGAGCAAAAACAGAATAGATAGAAACAAAAAAACATTACAATACATCATTTTTTTATCATAGGAAGTGTTTATAAAATAGTTTATGTAAAATCTACATATTGAATTCTGATATATACCAAGAATACATACAACCAAAAAAACTAATAGAAAATTCCATGATATTCCAATACAACAAATAAATTGAAGCAATTCGTCACATAAATAATTTCAAATAAGCTTTAATATCCAAAATATTCTTTAATGATATATCCAACCTGTCAGTGAGTGGAGTTATAACAAGTCTATCAGTGCATCCAAGATATTCATTTTGATAACTATGATCAACATCAGTAATAGACACAACACATTTATCTGTATCTTCTTGAAAATAAAATCTTGACTGTTTCAACCATTCAAAGTCGATAGGTGATTTGATATGCATTCTCACCTATAATATAATATTTGAAGCTTCAATATGAATGATACAGACACATTGAAATGCTATTTTTCTCTTGTTTACGTGACTTCATATAAACGAAATGCCTAATTTTAAATTTTTCCACAGTTGCAACACACATAGCAATATCAAGAGGAAAAAAACTGCATGTTCACAGAGTATATTCATATTTTGTTTGTATTGCAGTAGATCCTGTAGAAGCCCATATATATATATTTTATATACCTCCAATTATTCTCTGTAGCCTTGCTATATAGATGCTTTGCATTTATATTCACATAGACCTCCTAAACTTTCTATTTATTGTTCACAAAAGCTATGAACTGGGATATTCTGCACTATAGAATATGACATGCAATGGTTTAAATTTTGCTCTGCTCAAATATATGCTCATCTTTTATTAAGCCTCTTTAGTATTATAATTGCCTCATTATTGATGTATACGCATGCCCCCACACTGTAGACTATCCTATGTCGGTTCACTATATCCTACTGTGATGTGAAAATTGAATGAATAATAAATACCACAATAAAAACATCTGCTGTAAACCCACCAGATCATCAAATATATCTCTTTGATGAACATGAATTGTTACAAGAGTTTCGAACTTAACACGTTCCATCTTGGTCAGATCTCGAGTTGTTACTTGAATCAATTCATTCAACATATCCAAAAAATATTGATTGGTTGTTTGCATTATCTAAATTTTATGAAGACGTTGAGAAACTCTCAAGGCTCAATACTAGAAACTATCAAAAAAATTTGACAAATATATTTTTATTATGGTATCAATGATGAGAATATCCATGTAACCTAATGAACATCTAAAGTAGTAAAACAGTAGTTTTAAAATATCAAAATTTTATTAAAAAAAAAAAAAAAAAATTATATTTCAAGTACCTTTTTATCAGATTTAGCATTTTTTAATGCTTTTTCACTGTCCCTTGTCCAAATCATCTGAATTCCGAGAAGACCTATCTGAGCTGGGAAAATGTTCTAAAAATGATAATAATAATTGGGTAATAGCCTAATAGGTGATAGAAAAATAAAGTAAACTCAAGTCAGAATATGTGAGATTATGAAACAACATATTGATTGAATAAAGAATCGTGAATAGCCTATATCAGGGATGGCGAACCTTTTTCAATGAATGGGTCAAAAATAATATTTTTATCGCGGAACAGAAGAGAGTGGGTCACAGATATTTGATCAATGTTTGTATCATTAAGAATATTCTAGAACTAATCTTAAAGGCTTCTGTTGGTGTTGGTGTATTTTGGGCTTTACTTATGCAGCACTTTCATCTGGGACTTTTTATTCGACTTTATGAAATTAGAGTACGAAAACACAAATATGAATTACCAAAAACGTTTGGGATGATGCAGCAAATTATTTTACGATTCCAAAGAGTTTGGAGGGAATTCCACTCTGATAGTGTTATTTTTTTTCCACGGCATTGTAGGTGCTTCCGAAAGAGACAAACGTTGTGAGAAATGAACATATCAATTGCATTGTTATGTCATAAACGATATCATAGCCAATAGCTGAAAAACGATACACAGCAGCGGTGCAGACATGCGTCCAAGATTAGAGGTTTTGAAAATTACCATACCGACCCAGAAATTAATAATTTGAATATGAGCGATCGCAGCCCTGACTTCCCAACTGACAGTACATTATAATAGTTTAGTTATTGTTAAATTAATTTAAGGCCGGTTTTATCAATTTTGAGTACTGATATTGTGATAACTTGTAAATGCAACTCAATGTATCTATTTGTTTATACAGCTGCAGCCCAGCGATAATTGCTGTGGCGTTTTAAATCAGACACCAATCATTGCTGTGCTGTAGATGTAGTGTGTTAATTCTTTCAACTTTATTCATTTAACTATTGAGCCCCTTACTGCTAACATCACCAATTCGCTACGTATTTGTTTTCTTGTTTAATAACATTTACTTGTGTTATATTTTACTTTAGATTCATTCTAAGAGTGCTTTAAATTTAAGTTGAATAAAGCCCTATATCAAGGTACTATATTTCTCATTCATTACAGATATGTTAGCATTTTTTTAATTTTATTTGTGCGTTTGGCGTGTCACGAATAAAACGCGGTGGGTCACTTTGTGACCCGCGGGTCAGTGGTTCGCCATCCCTGGCCTATATGAATATAAAGAATAGCATATATGACCTAATTTTTATTAAGGTTGTCTAAAAAATCAATAAAAAAAATACATAAGATATAAAAGATATTCACAAATCATGATTTTTGTGATCAGACATATGATTTGATGAATGATAACCAGGTATTACTACCAGCATAACAGTTGTATATAGTAATATTTTCATGGTAGAAAGCAATTTATGAGCAATTTACTTCAAATTCTGTGATAATTAGTGCTTTGAAGATAATATTCAATCCAAAACTTGTTTTATCGCTAAAAAATAGTATAGCACATTAAATGAAATTAGGTATAGTAGTGAAAAAGTTGTTATAAAGTACCTGAAACTCGAGCATCTTGAATGCCGTATCTTCAATTCCAAAAAAAGCCTGTCGAATCACACCATGAACACTTCGCTTGATTTCATTTAACAGAGATCCCAACCAAATTTCAACATTACCCTAAAACAATAGGTTAATTTCTGTCTAACTTTAATTTGGTGATACCAGTGTTCCTATTTTTGAATATAAGATTTATATCATCCATTTGAAAATATTAATAGATGATATAAAGAGTTTGCTTTTGGAATATTGTTTTCATCATTCATTGGCTATGCTATTAGAAACTTCAATCGTATTTCTCTCAAGCCGAGCTTTGAAAAAACGAAAAATATTTGATGCGCTTCAACCACTTGGAACTTTCAAATGTGAAACAATTTTAATTGATTGTTATGAATTACTAAACTGCATCAAATTCTTTATTTATATATTTTAACTTGAAAATAATCCATCAAGATCAGGGCCAGAAATACCGTTTCAACAAATTTCAATACACTTGTTATAAAGGCAGACTTTAACCAATAAAATGAAATGCCAAGAGTTTTTGTACAAGCAGATCTTATTAATCCAATCTTATTAACAAAAAAATTAACATCAGCTGAAAAATTGGGTCTTCAACAGAATCGTTGAGGAATTTTCGAGGCCCTACATTTATCATTTTGAGCCCTACACCCCTTTATGATAATTCTGGCTGCACCTCTAATTAGAGCACTGTGTTGCGTATTGAATCACCACAACCAATATAGATTACATGCCATACTGACTAAAATGATGGCCTTTTAAAAAAAATCATGACTTCACCTGAGCAACAATCGCTTTTTCCAAATCAATATGCTCTTGTTCACGAGAGTTTATACCAATAATTCGATCATAATCCTTCTCATGAAAACTCACTGTGCAGACATTATCAAATATTCCAAGTAAATGAGCCTAAATGAAAGCATTCATAATGAAGAAAGTAGTAAACATCTTAACGAAGCAAAATACAAAAATCCATTTTTCAGAGACAAGAACATTTGTTGCAAAATTACATTTTGAAAATAGTTCTTAGTGTATAGATATATCCTAGTTATTAGTATATTCATGTAAGAAATAAAAGTTAATAATATAATTAAATATATTGCATAAAATTTCAAAACAGCTGCTAATAGCGAAGGAAATGAATTCTATTACAGTGTATAATATACATCTCAAAATTTGATTAAACCAATAAACTGCTGTGATATTACACAGAAAATCAGAAACACAATTTTCAATTGGAAAAATTTAATTGCTATTTGCACCCTAATTATCATGCCAAGAAGTACATAAAGTAAGTACTATACTTGACCATTAATAAGTTGTATAATCACTAATGATTTCATTTTATTTATATTCTTCAAAGCAAAGGCCAAAATATTATTGGTACCTGAATACTGTGGGAATTACTGGCTTGTCCAAGTATCTCTAGCAAAGCAGGATCAGACACAAAGAAGAATCTAGGAAAAACAAGTCGCTTTTTCTCCAAATACCCTGAAAACAATATATACTTATGTAACATTGGAAGGGATATTAAATTTTGTGCAATAATGAGACTAATTTTTTAGAAATAAACTTTCATGCAGAAACAGTTTGCAAGAACTGACTTACAAATATAAATATAATGTAGTACATAATGTAAATATAATAATAGTACAATATAAATGTGATGAATCAAAACCCACTTTTCCCATAATACCATGCAGTCTAGCAAAAAAAAAAGAATTATGTTACAAAGCATCCTGTCTTTAATTATCTGACAAATGCGACAAAATAATATGTTTGTCATTCTCAAATTCAATTAGATCAAGTTATTGCTCAGCTAATTTTTAGTCGATTGAGGATAATTTAAAAGTCACTCACTCCTAAACATATAATCAGCTTAGGAAACAAAATATTGTGAAACTATGCAATACCAGTCAATGACTTTTGACACATCTCAAGCTGCTCAAGCAAATGTGGAAGCAGTTGTGACAGCATTTCATCACCTACACAACAATTGACAACATTTGTTGTTTCATGTGCTCTTTGCATTATCTTCTGCCAAGATTTATCTATGTTAGAAAATCGTTTAGCTTCCTGAAATATTTAAGAATAACACTTTAATATTTTTTATGACTTACATTTTGCTCCGAGCAAGGTCTGTACAAGCAGCCACTGATATCTAATGATATGTAAAGAGCTACTGTTTTATTAAAGACTGAAACCTTTCTGGTTCGCCATTCCCTACTAAATTTATTACACTCTGGGTGAGGCGATATATTGATAAACAAAAAGGTATATGCAGATTTCTTCTCTTGTGAAAATATCACAATTTTATTCAGCAGCTTATTATTACAATCAATTTGAAAAATGCTATACCAACATTTTGAATGCATTTCACAACGATTGATGGAAAAAATTGTGAAAGTTTCATCAGAAAATATATTTCAGTAATATGGCAGGCTCGGTGTGAATAACTTAAACATTTTATGAACATAAACGACTGCTGAGTAATCTAGAAACAAACCTGTGGTAATTGTTTTGCAATATCACCTCCTACAAACACAGCTTCTAAATATATCCATAAATTTTGAACTGTCATCCATTGCTCTATAATTTCTGTTGTTCCAGAAAGTTTATTAACCCACAATTGAATTTTTGCTTTGAATGGAACATTATATCTGAAAAATATTAATTAAGACCAATTAAGAATCGTCAATATAAATAAACAAAAAGAGTCACATGACTCAAAATCTCAAACTTAAGTCAATATATCTGAGTTTCTTATTACTATGTATATGCAAAAGCAAAAATGAAATAATGTTCTATATACATGTCAGAATTTGTTACGGACTTTAACACAAACATCAGTGACTTTTACAAGTTACTCCATCAGAATATGGTTGTAAATCAAAAACAAATAAGACAATTTTTTGTGTATTCGAAGTATTTTAAACTTTTTTTCTTCAAACATGCAAACCAAAAATATCTCAAGTTAACAAAACAAAATTATTCACAAAATGCTAAATGCGTTTCATAGTATTTCATAGAACACTGGTATTTTTCAAAACTTTAGCTCAGAAGTAGAAGTATCAGTTGGATTGTAAAATATCAGCAATGAAACGATGCAAAAATATACGGTAGTTTTGAATGACAACAAGTACAAAAAATATATGAATTTTATATCAAATAAAAATATTGGTTTGGTATTAGGACTGATGAAAGAAATGAGTACAAGAGGTAAAAATTGAGCAGCAGGCAACACATTTAACTTGGTAAATGAAAATTGACAGGAACCACAGAGAAAAGTAGTCCCAAGGTTAAAGTTAATACAGATGATGTCTTGCCCATGTTTTATTATTCTTTCTAGCATACCGATTACTCATCAGAGACGCCAACACCATCAAACTATCTTCTAGTAATGCAACAATTTCTTGAATATCTGCACTTTTTAAAAGAAGTTCCCCTCGAGATTTAAAGGCAGTAAATGTGAAATTATGTCCTTCCCACTCTGCAATTGTGGCTTTTAATTTTGCTTCGATATCCTTCTCCTTCGTCGCTGATATACATATATCCTAAAAAATAAACATAATGGTAAATTTCTTTGTTATTCGCTCTAGCAAAATATACCACACTTGTTGTAAAGAAAAACAATTGTCATTGTACATTTTATTTTTTAGGTTGTAGGGTATCCTGAATTCATCTTCTCCCAACAATGAACATGAACACATGAAACAGTGGAAATATTTTACGATATAGTCATAATCACCTCAATGTCTTCTTTGTGTTGAAGTATTGGTGCTTCCATTATATTTCTCAACATAAAATTGTCAGAGTCAATTTCAAATGTATGATTTGTAAGAGTGGCAATTCTTTCCCAATGTCTTTCTTTCATGGCCTGCAAAATATTATTAAAAAGGTAAAATATTATTTCAAGGTGGATCCAAACAAGTGTTTTTTTAGAATTCAAGGATAGGGAAGGATTTACATATTTCCCATGGAAGAGGAAAGCCGATAAGGCAGCTTAATCATATGGCAAACCAACCAGTCCATGTCAGATATGAGATTAGTTAGACAGTTATTTGTTTTTAGAATCATGGACTTGATGGTAGAGGATGCTATAACCGACCATTGGTTATGCGAACCACCCTACGGCGGCGAGGAGTTCATCAATCCTCTCGCACATAATTAGCCCAGCATGGGCCTCAAACTTGCGAACCCATGCAGGGTAATCAGAGGTGCAGTGGCAAGCGTATTCCATTCATAAAATGTAAATAAATAAACTAAAATAAAAAACATACTTTGTGTGCCATCATTTCCAATAGAGGGCAGCATTCATTGAAATCATCAATTTTTTTCTTCAAATCATTATATGCTGGCCATTCTTTTAATCCTTTTGGAAGTTTTCTGCATTTATTTTGGAATTCAATCAATTCAGAATTGACACTTTCAATATCCAAATCCTGCCACAAGATCTCATAGTAACCATCTACACTTTTGTTCACCTGTAGAAAAATAATATAGATCAATCATGATAGATAATGATATACTCAGCCATGAATATAAAATATAATGTAATAAGATAAACAAGGTAGAAACATTGCGATGGAGAGATATTAATCAATGCATTTATCCTACTATGTTTACTGAATATTATAAAAGATTTAGTAATTATGAAAGGGGGTGGTTATTTGGAGCCCAGGCATGTCAGTAGTCTCCTTTATGAAAAAATTCTTCAATCCTGTTTTTCGAGTCTTTCGTTTGCAATATCTGATTGAAATTCAAATAACATTTCTACATTTGTTCCATATTGATACCAAACTAATAATTAGCATATACACCCATCAATATTGAAAGCACAGGTTGTAACTTGTAGATCTCAAATTTATTCAATAGTTAGTCCTAAGACTAATCCTTGTTGGACATGTGATGAGGTACATTATATTGTGTTACCTAAGGGGTATTTAGATGAAGCTGAAGTAAAATTCCTTTATTTTAGGACACACTGGCAAAAATGATTTGCTGTGTATAGGTAAAAGTATCTATTCCCCAAAATATGTACAAAAAACAAATTTTATAATCGACATGCTACATACAGCATTATACAATGAGTATAGCTTCGATAGCATGTTCAATTCCTTCTTTATCTTATGCAATGTTGGATATTCAGTCACTGTCAACCCGAATAATTCCTCTCCTGCAGAATATGTTTGAAATTTGTTCCACAATTCATCAAATCCACCCTGGTACAATGCAAGTCTATCACTTGCTTCTCTCGGAGCAATTCCTTCTTCATTTGGTCCACTGAGAGAGGAATAAAAAAAAACTATAAATATAAAAATCCTATCTACAGTATATTGGATTCAAACATCTTCTCTGCAGAACTTCATTTACAATATCTAAGTCTTTAGTCTATCTTTACAATATTAAGTCTAATATTTTATAACTCCATAAAGATTTTTACATATAAAACACCTCAGGGTCATACTACCTCGTGATTTTACTATAATATACAATATTTTATCGATGATATTCAGTCTCACAAACATCTTTATAATCATATATTCAAGTCATTCTTGTTCATCTACTTATTTCAATCACGAAACAATTTAATGATGTTCGAAATCCAATACAACTATTCCCAAAAATCCTCAAGTAAACTTACGATTCCCTATAACTTTTTGTGAAAGAATCATTGTCTTCAGCAAATTGTTGAACAGATTGTGTTAGGTTTGTTCGAAACATTGGTTGAACCTTCAGTAAATTATCTTGAGCTTCAGTCACCTGATTTTGTAGAGTCTTCCAAGCATACCCAAGACTATCTACAGTTTCTGCATTTCCATCCCCAAAACTCAGTTCCAATCTTCAAATGGAAACTTGGCATAAGCGGAATTACGGTATTTAATTTTTCATTTCTTATCTCTTATGAATGCAAGTATTTAAACAATGGCAAAATAATATACAAAACTACATTAAATTGCAATTTTTACTTATTTCTTATGCTTATTCAAGAAAGAAATATTTGCAGATTTGAGCAACGGTGTGTAATTATCCATTTATTTCAATTTTTATTTTGTTCATAAAAATTTTCTCTGTATGACGTAACTACGAGGTAAAAGATTTCACTTGTTTAATAGGTTATATGCTTCCTCAACTGGTCCAATTTTTGAATCAATTCGTATTTCTTCCTGTCTTAATTCTTCAAGTGCACTCATTGTTATTCTGACATCATCGAGATCTTCAAGAGTTCTTGTGACACGCTTTCCAATAGAATCAACAAACTCAAATACTTCCTAGCAAATAAAATTGTGGATGCATTAGGTGATGATACACATATGGTTTAAATATTATCCGAGATATTTGAAACTATATGAACTTACGAACCTGTTGGAATGTTTGGGTATCAATTAATTTGAATAAGTCAATGCATTATATACAATAATACAATCATCTGTTGTTCATCAGCTAAAATTCAACTAAAATATGGTTACATTATCAACTTCGCATTTTCAAAAGATGATTGTGCAATTTCTGCGAACTTTAGGCAGATGATGATAAGCCATACTTTGTAATCTATCTTTGAAATGAAAGTGTATCAATATATGGTGGATGAGACAGAAGGAACGAGTAGTTTGGGGTATTTTTCATAAATTTTATTCAAGAGTGTTTGAACTGAAAGCAGGAACTGAGGGAAGTCCAGATGACCTATCTAATCATATTATGGACTACAACTTTTTTTCTATACCATATATCACACAGCATCCAAACACAAAAATCTTTAAAATTTAATAAAATGTTTTATGATTGAATTGTGTCGATAGTTTTTCTTCTTGCCAACTTCAATGAAATAGTAATTATATACAACTAAACATACCTCCATCATTTGGCCAGCTTTATGATTCAAAGCTTTCCCAAAAGCAACTTTTGCAGCCTTACATTCCATCTTCAAAGCAAGTTTTAACTGATTTGTTGAAAAAACAATGGGGCCCTCAACTAGGCTATCTACAATGTTGTCAACTTTTTCCTCTAGTTTCTGAAATAAATATGAAAGCATTTATTTACAATTACATAAAAGCATTGTGTATAAATTGCATATACAAGGGGAATCAATTTTATTAGATTTAGAAGGGGGGCGAAATTAGAATGTCAACCCAAAAGGCCCTCATCCTTCTTGACCTACAAGTATAGGCAATAAAAGTTGTCAGCCAAGGTCGAGTAAGCTTATATTTTCCATTCGATAGAATTCATACTAGTTTTGCAGTTTGATAGGCACTATGTTACAGCACGACAGACTGTCATGTTGATGGGATATTTGGAGTCCATTGGCAAGTGAAGTAAATGCAGTACTCCCGTAGTATGTGTACCAGGTTAGGGTAAGGCTATAATTTTATTCCGATTTTCGTTATTTTAGTTCTATTATGAGTTCGGGGACTGTCTGTGTTAGCCAAGTGAATATCCCCCTGCCCATAGGTTTCAGTCCCTTCTTCACACAACTTGATGTAAAATAGGCGAACAAAATTAGTTACCACCATATTGGTACACATATTTCTGGAGCGTAAATGCAATGCATTGTGTGGACAACGGTTGATATATTTAAAAATAATACAGATTTGGATTTACAATGATACAGGTATAGGAAAATTAAATTGAAAAATAGATTTAAAGAAATTAAAAATTGAAATGTGATGCAAAAATATGTTACACAGACGCGATTGCAAAAGCAAAGGCTTGGGAGGAGATTGCCGGAGCATTGAGAAGAAATGTCTTGAAGACTGTAGGATTTAGTACAGGAGTAACGAGATTTGAATTATTTATTAACTGAAATAGAGATTCCTTCTGGAATGGTCGATGAGTATACAATCTGTTAATGCATTTAAAACCCATTAGTGAAAAAATTATAACCACACAATTATAAAATGACAGAATATTATTGTTCTATTGTGACAGAGTCTAAGACCATTGGAGACCGAAGAAGAGTTGTTTTTAAAATGACAAACACAAGAGAATGGTGGCTATACAAAATGTAGAAGTATATCAAAATGATGAGGCTCCAGGATGAGCAAGTTGACTACGCACATAACTAGTTCTTTCTTTATGTACTAAATATTATCGTGAAATCCCACTATCCAGAATGACTGATGACGACATTACCTCGTCTCACCATCTACAAATCAAGAACACTCCATTTAAGCTCCATTCCAAAATACGTCTTCAAATGTGGATGAAGTGGTCATTCTTGTAGTGTTCGAAGAAATAATAGACAAATATGTGGGAATGTCGGCGAGCCATCTAGTGCCAGCACCAGTTGAATGACATCAGTATTTACAAAACCATAATAACATAAACTTTGATCACTGGTTTGTCAAACTGTTTTGACAAAACACAAAAACAGCAAACTCACATGGTAATATTTTATCTGCTCTTCATATTCTGAAAGAGAGGGATTATTTTGAAGAAAATCCTTTAATTTAGTTTCAGCATCTTTTTCCCATATTTCAGAAAAATCTCCAGCCTCAGAAAGTTTATTAAGAACTTGACCACACTCTGACTTCAATGAACTGATGGTTGTTGATACTTGTGAAGAAAGTTTTACAATATCTTTGTGATCTCCAATTATCTAGAAAAATAAAATAGTTTAGAACAGGGGTCTCAAACTCAATTTACTTGGGGGCCGCTGGAGCAGAGTCTGAGTCCGGGCCGCATCAGGTTTTCCACAATAAAAGCTTAGCAACTTATTTAAATTGTATTCCTTGTGCACTGCAACTTTCTCTGTGCAGATAAGACGTGTCGGGATGCTCCTATGCTCAACAGAGAAATATTTCATTTCCCAGTTTTCTTGACACTTCAAACGACACGTTTAGGGATGTGCGAAATTATGAAATTCCACCTTGTTATAATTGTTGCGCTGATGTTTCAATCAAGTATTTAGTCGATGGACAGTGATGTTTAACCACATGGAAAACATGGTTACAAAGTATCAAGATAAGTCTAAGCGTTAGTGATTGTGACGTCAAAAATCATGGAAAACTGTTTTAAAATTATATCAGGCGGTCCCGCAATCGAATATCAGGTCTACACGTACGGTACTGGTAGGTTACAGCACCGCATATTTCTTTTGGGGGATAGATAATAAAATGTTTTGTTTTGCCCTACGTGACTATATCTTATATTACAGCGTTTCCCTTTTTCGCCCACAGAACACTTACACTTTTTATATCACCTCGCGGAACACCAAAAAATGAAAGGGTTAAATTGATAAAGAACAAGAGATCTATGCTCAAATATATGGACACGTAGCGCCACATAATTTTGATGACAAAAACTAAAAGTAAAAGCCTTCTGGAGAAAAATTCCATCTTTAACCACTGAAAATTTCAAAGCAATTGGTCCAGTAATCAAAGAGAAAAGCGATTTCTTCAAAACGTGTCAATGAACAAGAACAACATAACAACAAAACGATTGTTATGTCTACTAAACGCGTCCAAAAACGGTGCAATGTAGCGGTTCCCAATGGTTTCGCCTTGGCGAGTTGCAAATGCGCAACAAACTTTCAGCATTTCGAAATAAAACCAGGTAGAGATGGAGGAAGAAGGTATGGCCTTTTGCCTTTATTCTGTAGTTTAGACCTACTTGTTTGCCTTCAACAAAACCGAAAGGAGTAGGCCTACTGTAAATTTGATAATGAAATTAACAGTCAAAAAGCTAGTCCGACGGTTAACGAAAATGCCATTATCCTAACTTAGTCAGTCCGCTTTAGGCCGACGGTGATGCGATATTAAACGGTTATTTGGGCGACAACCTCACGATTCTCAGATCGCCATGGCGACTAATTTAGACGTATTTACGATTGCTTCTCCACAGAACACTCGGAAGATGCTCGCGGAACATTAGTGTTCCGCCGAACACAGTTTGGGTAATGGTGTTATATCAAATAGACCGATCATGCTAACTGAGCTAAGTGACTTGCGGGCCACACTAACATTGAACTTTCATACTAAGGCGGGGGCCACAAACTATTGTCCTGCAGGCCGCAATTGGCCCGCGAGTTTGAGACCCCTGATTTAGAACATTTATTAGTATAAATACAAATGTCGAATGATGAAGTTTCATCTAACTGGGAAAAGATACTACTTGAAGCGATCAAAAGGTCATTTTTTTCCAAGTATTTTGCCAAAGTTGATGGCACTGTGGAACCAAACCCCAGGATCACTATTTACCTGAAATTCGATCCATTTTTACCGAACACCATGTGACCCCAATGCAAAAACCTGATGTGTGGGTTTCCACAGTTGCACATATAAAAACTGACATACCGAGCGGTTCTCAAAGTGGACGAAAATGACCCTTATGAGCATTTGCAATAACTGTAGCATAGCTGATCGTGAATCAGGCAATTGCGAGGCACTGACTGTAAGGTTAGGCAATCGGGGAATGCTTGTAATAAATCTGGCAGTATTTAACATTTTTGACTTGGTTTAATATTTTGGTTTGACCTAGATTGCTTGTGATTTTGGTGTTGGGAATTTCTCGCTTAACATAAAATATTTTTTTCAAATCAGTCACAATGCCACAACACTTACCTTATGCATTGGTTTTATAGGAGACGGTGATTCGTCTCCTTGATTCAATTCAGCTTCTCGCTGTGCATTGATACTTTGTTTCCACTGTGGAAGTTTGCTTGTGCAATTGATAATATTTTGAACAATCTATTGAATAATATTGATTAATGAGGAAGTCGAATGTGTACCGGTACTTGCTATTGCATTTTGAAAGTTTTCAGTTTTGACTCTTTTTGGTTATACAAATCAGATTTACATTTATTCAAATTTGTCAAAAAACTTTTGATGAATAGTTATCTATTTTAGGCAATGATTCCCAATCTTTTTTGTTAAATTTAGCGCTTTGCCTATTTCAGGGATGGCGAACCTTTTTCAATAAATGGGTCACAAATGATATTTTCATCGCGGAACAGAAGAGAGTGGGTCACAGATATTTAATCAATGTTTGTAACTATAAGAAACTTCTGAAATCTTATAAGCTTCAGTTGGTGTATCAGGGATTTTTATGGCACTCGATTTTATGAAATTAGAGTACGAAAACAAGTTCGATCAGCTTTAAACCCCATTGAGGCACTTTTACACTGCCCCATTGTTATTTCAGTTCGCTAGGTTTTTATTTCAAGTCTGAAAGCTTTTGTTTTTTCAATGGCATTGTAGCCAGGAAACTAATAAAATGCAAAGTAGCATCTAGTTCTTGTATAACCCCTAAAAACAGTCTGCAGATGCACTTCCGAAAGAGACAAGACGTTACGAGAAATGAACAGATCAATTGTTATGTCATAAACGATGTCAGAGCTAATAGCTGAATAACGGTACACAGCGGTGCAGACATACGTCCAACATTGAGGGATTTGAAAATTACCATACCGGTTTAGAAATTAGCAATTTGAATATGAGCGATCGCGCCCCTGACTGCCCAAGCTTAGTTATTGTTAGATTAATTTAAGGCCAGTTTTATTAATTTTCATAATCGATATGTTAGCATTTTTATTTTATTTTATTCGTGCCTTGGCGAGTCACGAATAAAACTCGGTGGGTCAGTGGTTCGCCATACCTGGCCTATTTGAAACTCTTTATTCCTCCCTCACTTTGCATAAGGCTGCTTTATGTGTTATCCTTTGCTAGTGCTATGTGTATGTCGCACTTCTGTTTTTGTGCAATATAAAGAATATTAGTAATATTACAGTGAATACAAAGCCAAATTCCTCCCAAAAATGGCAAAATTTCTCTCTGGGGAAATGTTTATCACAAAAAGATATCATAAGCTAGAATTCATTTAATCCTAAATTTTGTGCAGTAGTAAAAAATTCACTTTGTTAAGTAGATGCTGAATTTCTTCTAAGCTTGGTTGAATTGCAACATTTGGTAATGACAAAACAATATCTGTCATTATTATTGGTGGAGAATTCAATGATTCATTTCTTCTTAAATTATCTGTAGACGATCCTCTTTTTATCTAAATATCATTATTTCAAGTTATATGAAATTGAACTGAAACTTACTATATACTAATATGATATACACCTATTTACCAATGTATGTATACAGTTAAAGTTTTAGTCAACGAATTCCCAATCAAACAAAATACTAAATATTTTATTTGTTTTTCCTTTTATAATAGCATAATTAAAAATAAACAAGCAGTATTATTTTATTGCTATGATTTACACACCTTCAAAGAACGTTTCATCTTTTCCAAAGAAAACTTTGTACCTAAAATTTTTTTCAAATATTTATAACATGCGGAGTCAAAACATACAGATTAACCCCTTTACCATTCTTCCTGGTAATATTCGTCAAGCACGTTTGACACTTAATAAGTTAACCCTTTTGCATTGCGCAAGTCGCTGGGGTACCGTTACTTGCAAATACGCACGCCGTAGGTTGACAGTGATGAAACTGTAGGAAATGATAGCAGTGACAGGACAGTTGACTATGGTATTGCTTGAACTGGGCCAAGTTCCGCTACTAAATTTGTTTGACCTGAAAACTTTGTCAATCAGTCTAAGCTGCCGTTTACGGGATCGCCTGGTCTACAATAAACATTGATAATCTAGTGTAAAATGTGGTGTGAGTTAATGCACATAGTGTTTTAGATGTATGCATGACATAAATGGTGCCATACATCAAAAACAGCTATAATTTTATTGACTGGGAAATTAGGTACAGTTTTGTAAAATTTAATTGCCACTTTGGGAGCATTTTCTAAAAATTTATTTAACAGTAACGGGGGTTAATGAACAACTAAACATGACTATGATATTCTAATTGATATAGAAAGCAAAAAAAAACTATTGTCTGTAATTGCATCCCAATACACATAATATTTTAATATTTTAGCAATATCATTCATTTGAACAAAAATTTTTCTCCATTTTAGAGAAAACGGCTAAAATTCTTACAATTTGCCTAAAAAAGGCTTCTGAACATGATGAACCTTACAATTAATACCTACATTTAACAAGAGAATCCATGTTTCTTTGGGAAAATGAATTGAGGGTGTTGAATACCAAGCATGATTGACATTCTTGACATCTTTGACCCTTCATCTTTGCCTCATGATGGGAACAGAAATATGGCTCCTAAAACATATTGAATGAAGAATATACCATGTAATCCAAGCAAGTAATATTAAAAATAAATTATTTCATATAATAATGACTTACAAACAAGTTTGCTTTGTCTGCAGGCTTCATTCTTGATGTTAGATTGCCAATGAGTTCAATCACACATTTTTCAACAACAGATGTTTGTCGAATCAAACGTGTAACGCTGGTATTAATGGCCTTTTCAGCCAATTCGAAGAATCTAAAATTTGGTGCTTGTATTTTAAGAGCAGAAATGAAGTATTTGACTAGAGACTCAAAATTTATCTTTGCACTAAATCTATGATAATATTCAACTTGTAACTCATTATTCAAAAGTAGATATACTACAAAGGTAAGAGTCGCAAATGATCAGTATCAAGCTGAGCATAACAGTCACAAGCTACTACAAGAGATATTTGCAGATACTCTATAACATGGAACATGATTTAATAAAAACATTAAAAGAGATATCTACAATATTTTTTAAGGAAACTAGTGATATTACAATTTAATTATGATCAGTCACTACAACGTAAACTACAAATTAAAAGTTTTTAACAGTTTAATAGTTGACACATATTAAACTGTTTTCAAAGGTTCAACTATGGTTATTGAAACTCACGTCATTATATTGATGGGCTCAGATTCAGGTATTGCTACAAACAACGTTTGAGACATTTCCTCCAGTATTTTTTCAATTCTGCATTCCAAAGTATCATGTAATTGTTTCAAGAAAAATTCAAACTCATCTTCAGCAGCTTCAATTTGATTGATAACTGAGAATTCACAAGCCATATTACAATACAAATCAAAATTTTGCAAAAGTCATTTTCGTGCAGATTGGCCAAATTGAACAAATGTGAACTATTTAGATTAAAATAGCCAAAAAATCAGATGAATGTGTGATGAACCAGCTTTCTCTCTTTTTTCAGTTTACTAACATTTCCAGATCAGTATGTGACAGGTTACAATGATGACAGAATGAAGCATTATCAGAAAACAATAATAATGTAATGTACTCCTTTCATTCAAAACTCTTCGGACATAATAAGTTGCAATTATTCTCTAATATTCCACAGAAATGCGGAACAAAGTAAATACATGTAGGACTACAAACAGCATCAGGAACTTTGGCTATTGAGACTATTAAGCATATCTGCATATGGATAAATTCTAGAGTGTTATCTAAAAAATAAATTTTAGACATGATAGTGCACTGATCGAAACTATTCTGTTGCCATAAAATAATAAATATATAAAACAATTTATCTTGAATAGTTTAACCAACTCAATGCACTCATTACATTTCATACATAATTAAAACTTCCAATGCCAAATTTGTCTGGAAAAATTCTGAAATTGTTCATTACTTTAAATTCTGTAATGTCTAATGTGGGATATAATATTGCTTTTATGTCAATATTGTAAGTTGTTTGTAATGACATTAGCATGAAAATCTTTATCTGTATCCTGAATGAAGTTTGACCTAAAAACTTCCTCCATTTTTACTCAAATCAACTAAAATCTTAATGTAATTTAAAAATTCTTAAAGAAATTTAATATTAGAACTGAATAAAATAAAATATTTATATACTTATATTGTACTTATATTTATATCAAGATGCAAATCATGCCATTGCAAGTATCAACATACGAGGTGCGGCTAAAAAGAAACGGGACTGACGTCACAGATTGCGCAACACGATTAACCATCGGTGATCAACACTTTTGCAGTGTGGCGTAATATGTGTTCTTTGTTTAACAGCTGTTTTGACACAATATCGCAATTATTTTTGCTTTTCAGGATTCATAAGTGAATGTGATAAATTTCTTGTTGAAAAAAAAATGCTGTGCGAGGTCTGATGGAGTTTTTTGGTGATAGGGGGTTCAATTAAAGAATGACGACTAAGCAAAGAATTAACATTAAATTTTGTGTCAAACTTGGAAAAATGGCGACTGAGACTTTGCAGATGTTGCGTGATGTTTATGGAGATTCTTCCATGTCCAGAACAAGAGTTTTTGAATGGCACAAGCGATTTGTGGAAGGCAGGGAGGATGTGGAGGATGATCCGAGGTCAGGGAGGCCTTGCACTTCCACTACTGATATCAACATCAAAAAGGTTTGGCAGTTGGTTCGCAGTGACCGTCGCTTAACAATTCGCGTCATTGCCAACAAAATTGGGATTGACAAAGAAACGGTCCGTACCATTTTGGTTGACACTTTGGGAATGCGAAAGGTGTGTGCCAAAATGATGCCAAAGGCTCTTGAGTTGACTGAGGAGCAGAAAGCTCAACGATTGAATGCATGCCGAGTTGACATGCATTTTTCCCAGTTTGACACAAAAATTAATGGTAATTCTTTGCTCAATCGTCATTCTGCAATTGAACCTCCTATCGCCAAAAAAACTCAATCAGACCACGCACAGCATTTTTTTTTCAACAAGAAATTTTAAGGATCCTAAAAAGCAAAAATAATTGCGATATTGTGTCAAAACAGCTGTTAAACAAAGAACACATATTACGCCACACTGCAAAAGTGTTGATTACCGATGGTTAATCGTGTTGCGCAATCTGTGACCTCAGTCCCGTTTCTTTTTAGCCGCACCTCGTATGGTAGAGGTTTTTTGTTTTCTTACTGTGCCATGCCCTAAGATTCTTGATTCTGTATCTATAATTATCGCTTTATTTAGGAATAAAGATGTCACATTGTCACAGGAAATAGGAAAATATGAAACGAAACAAGCTAAAAATCATTTCTTACATTTGTCAATATTTAAAGAACACCAATTCAGAATTGTGAGACCAGGCATGAAAACATCTTCAAGCTGCGATACATGACTTTTCATCAATGGCTGGAGTACTAGAGGTATGTCTTTTACAATATTATCATAACGCCTAATAAGATCATCCAACCTAAAACATGCAATAATATATAATAATGATAATTTGCATCAGTTACAAATAGCTTGGTAGTTGGTTATTCTGGTAAGTATATAATAATGATAATTTGCATCAGTTACAAATAGCTTGATAGTAGACAGGGTAGTAGTTATGATTCACTGTTTCCATACCTGACCTGAACTGGTAAATCAATAGCTACCTTGGCCTCAGCGGCAGAGAGTGGTTTAGCAGGCAATCACCCAAGCGACTCAAAAATGATTTACCCCGGTAAAGCAGGGTGGGAGGGAGCATGTTACTGTAATAATGAGTCATATTTAGCATCCAATTACACATACCAGTAAGCTTTACCTCAATTCAATCTGCATGTTTATTTTATCCAGGAACAAATTTTAGGCCTCAATGGTTGAATCGGAATGTTTCACTATATAAATTTATCTATATTATACAATAAAATGTAGATTACTATATTGGCTTAGGACATATTTAACCTAGATAATACAAAATTTTGTGTTAGTTTAGGTTAATCCTTTCATTTAAGGATCTTTCTGTCTAATTGAGCCAGCAAATATTCTTTTAGGCCTTAAAATCATCCAGCAAGTAGCTAATTTTCTTCCTTCGGTCATTGATGTTGTTTATAAATGATACACACAAATGTTTGAACTTGACAAAAAGCAAACTTGAAACACTTACAAATCGGCTCTTCGTTTCAAATTTTTCTCATTTAACCCTGCCATTATTGCAGCAAATTCAGGAACATCAAGATGTAGAGCTCGCATATGGCGGGTCTCACTAAAAAGTTCCAATACTTTGGGGTCAAAGTTGACATGCAAAGTTTTTGCTTCTGGGTGACGGACAATCAGAGATGACATCAAACCTTTCTTATTTTTCTCAATACCACGGCACCAAGTTCTATGGAAGAGAACCTTAAAAAAATTGGGTGATTCAAATTAGTTGTTTAAATATTTATTCTTATCATTATATTAGGATTTACCTCATATTCAAGTAAACAGGCAGCAACCTTATTGTAAGTCTTAATAACAACTTTTGCTTCATTACTTTTCATTAAAGTTGGTTGCAGTTGCATTGCATTCATTGATGTTTCGAGACGCCTGAAAAGCTGTCTTGCCCACATGATTCTGCCTGCCAGCTGTTGACAAACATTTTGATTACATGAAGTTTTAGTTAAAAATTTGGATTACAAAAGGATAAATTCCAAAACTTGGCTTTTCTCAAATTTTATACAAGTAGTAAGTAAGGTATGTAATATAATTATATGAAATATCGTACTATTTTGTATTCATACACCCATTCATTATCCATTTTATGCAAGTGTATCCAACACAGAAAAAAAATTTTACACAATTTTTTTTAAGAACTTCAATTATGTGAAATACGCTACCTCATTACCATTTTCCTGATTAAATTTACTTGACTGTTTCAAGACTCACATTCTTTGTACTTATGTGCACTATATCATCATAGTAGTATATAGTATCAGTAGCTCTTGTACTTTACTGGTCTCTGAGAGATCAACCTATTTCACTTCTGAACGAGTGCATGCAACCTTGCTTTGAACCTATTTACAAACGGGACTATTTTCGACAGCGAACATGTGAAAAATGGTGATAAGATAATGTTTCAAGAGGTTTATTAATACTTGTACATTTTTGTAGTTAGCTCAAAGCAAGATTCTGAGCCATTTAATAAAAGTGAAATGACTACTGTTAAAACAGTCAAAAAAGTGCACTAAAAATATATCCTGTGTGTGATAGAAAAGTAATAGATACCAAGCTTCAGAAATTCAAGTCAATACCTTCGGTGAGACAGTTAGGAAGAAGTGAGTTCCATAAAGTAGAAGTTTTAAGCATAGAATTATTTTTACAAGAGAACATCCGAATTGTATGGTAAGACATAGCATCAGATCTTGAGTAACAACAAAATTTTTTTTTAGCAGAAGCGAACAAGGAAAGTTCAGATGAACAGAATATTAATATCTATAAAATAAGCCAAGGATCGCAATATTTTGCAAGCCTGAAGCTGAGATTCAGACCAGTCAAATTTATCACAAAAGATGAAAATTTAGATGATACTGGATGAGAATTATTAAAATGAAACTTTGAAGACAAATCTTGATTGAAATTTTTCAACAGTGAGTTAACAAGAATGGAAAACATTTTTCATGCTCAAACAACAAGCGGTAAAACAAACTTATCTTTATTAAGTGTTTAGAAAGAGCAATTTCAGAATTTTTTTCCTCTCTTATTGGACACGTTTAGTGGCCATAACGATCGTTTCAAAATTTTGTTGTTATTGTTATTATTTGTCTCCGTCTCCATTTTAAAAAAATCGCTTTTCTCTTCGAATACTGGACCAATCGCTTTGATATTTTCAGTGGTTGAAGATAAAATTTTTCTCCAGAAGGCTATTACTTTTTTTTCCCGCTATGACATCATCAGAATTATTGCCACTGGGTGGCGCTACGTGTCCATATATTTGAGCATAGCTCTCTTGTTTCCTAAGGTTTACAAATTTTAAATCTATGCTCGTTTTTTTTACAAATTTCACAATTTGTTATGATGCTGCAAACTGAGCACTGCTATATCATCAACCTTGGTGCGTTGTTCGTCATTATACGAATAATACAAGTCACAGTAAAGCACAAAGTAACTGTGATACTTTACTCACTAACATAGACAATAAATAAAAGTCTCCATCTCCATATTGTAATTCAATAACAATAACGGACACCAAAGTTTCATGAAGACAAAACTTCACAAGCTAGAATTTATCTTACTGGAGGAGCATTCCTTGATAGCGGTGGATCTTTGCATTGCTTGGCATATATCTTTTTTGTGTTTTCAAGTTCTTTCATGAACTGTTGCAGAGTTTTAAAATACTTTTCCCAGAGTTCAATTTCTACACCTTTGATGAGCTCAAATTTTGAGATCAGTCGAAAACTTTCAACTGTCTAAGCAAATATAAAGTAAAATGAAATTTCATGAAGCATGAATGAGGCATATCTTACACTCATACATGCAAATAAATTCATCATAAAAAGACAAAATGAGTGGACAGTGGACAGAGGAACAGGAAGTGGGCAGAGATTGGATTTTTAAATTGTTTTAGTTATTTATGTTGTTGAAATTTTTACTAAATGCATTTCATTGTCAAATTCTACAAACTAACGGTATAGATAATTCTAATTACTTTCATTTACCCCCGTTCCCTCTATAATTTCTGAGATCCTTTGTGTTTCCCTTACTAAACATAAAACCAGATAAAAAAAATATAAAAACAATAGACCATATGAAATTATGATTGTTAGATAGGATAAGCTACTTTAATGAAACAAGATTTGTTACCGACATATTTCTTTCAAATAATACTTCAACCAGGTTTTGTATTCCTTCTTGAACACTGTCAATTTGTGACTTAAAATCAGAATATTCAGTATCAAATTCATGGGATCGATGATTGAGATGATCATATGATTTTTTCTTCACATTGGCAACAATTGTTTTGTATTTCATTGCGTAACTTTCAAGACCCTATGAGGACGAGTAAGTATGAACCAAAAGTTACCAAATAATATAAAATTATAGAATGTATCAACCCTCTTGCAGGGCCCATAGCTGTTCCCAATGGGTGTATCACGGCGAGTTTCCAAGTGCGCCACAAAAATTAACAGAACTGTATTAAACATAACTAAAATATGATTGAATATTTTACATGTTTATTTATTAAACATTTTTCATTATTTCTTATTTTAAATGCTGTGTATATGAATCAATAAACTCATTTTACCTTGTGTCTGCCTCTATTGTTACATAACAATAGAGATAGAATTACTTGCTGCAATTTCGTCAGCTGCAGTTCATTTATCTGCAGAACCGAGTTTGGCAAACACAAGTGATTTTTTAGCATTTCAATAGAAAATCAGGTGGAAATGAGGAAGAAGAGTTAACAATTTGTCTTTATTCCTCAGGCCTACTTTTTTCAAAGATTTTCTCCTGACAAATCGATGCCGTACAAACAAAAAATTTGGGAACCGCTGCACTATGAGGTTGAATGATACACATTTATGCATTTTCATATGTGTAAGAGTAGGTTTATAATAATATAATGACTGTTACCCAACCGTTACTTTCAAGTCACCCTACATAATACGTTTGCAATGATCACATAAATTTTTATGTTTCCACAGATACCAATATATGATCAATTTTCAATCAACCATATAGATGCCTACCAGGACTCATATATTAACTATAACAGAAATGTACATCTACAAACAAAATTACGAAATACTTGTATTTTTATATTCGGAAGTGTTGACAACTGTTCCATTATCATTGCCATTTCTCTAATTTGATCAACTCTTTTGCAAAATGTATCGAACCTATAATAAAACCACACCAATTAAAAGATAAAACCCTATGAATTGGTCATGAAAAATCTGCCATATTTTTGATTGAAATCATTAATCAGTAGTTATTTTTCCATCATACATAAAATACACTTTGTAAACAAGAGTGCAAAGAAAAGTGGAAATGAAATTTCAGAGTGAAGGAAGGTTTGAGAAACCAATACTGATTATTGAGCAGTTCCACCTGTGATTCAACCCAACTGTAATATATAATAGCATAAACAATCAAACCATATTCATTAAAATAAGTATACCTTAAAGTATGTGGGAGTGACCTAGATATCCAAAAGACGCCCCATACAGCCTCAGAAAAATGATTAACAACTACAAGCGTCGTTATGCAAGTAACCATGGGAACAGCAGCAGAAGGCAGGTAATAATGAGAATCAGATTTTCTATTTATCTTGCAAGAGGAGTAAAGCCGATAAGACAGCTTATTCATATTCAATAACATTGTTTCGTTCATCGATGTAAGAAATCCATAAAAGACAAGCACAAGTACTATGGTAAGGTGCTTCTGTGCGGAAGTATTATCACATAAAAGCATGATAAGAAAGCTATATCGGAATATAATTGTCTGATTATAAGAAATTAATATCATTTACTCTAAAGTACTATTGGATTTTATTGAATCACAAAGATAAAAATAAAAGACTGGGAAAAAGATATTGAATCAAACTTAATACCTTCCAAAAATATAATTTTCACTGAATTCAAATTGTCTTTCAGCTGGATTTTGTTGAAGCTTTTCTTTTGTTTTTTGAAATTGACTTTGATATGCTTCATTCAGTTTTATACACTCATCAATACGCTTTATGAGTTCCTTGCTAAAAATTTAAACAAACGCTAGCCAATGAAAGAGATTCTCAATACGAACTCCATGTAAGAAGGCACATATAGACCTTGGGTATTTTGAATTATGAGTGATATTTTATTGATCCTAAAAAGAGTGGATGGATCAGTACAATATCACGATTTCACTGGATTTCATTTAGCAAAAACTATTTTAAATACTGTACTTGAAACACACAGTTTAGTTAGTAGCAGTTACTCTTTTTTTTGTTTAAATTAATTTTATCTGGCATCTCCTGTTCAAAGATAAATATTAAGAATGCCAAAATAAGTGACAGTTAATAATTACCTACTGTACATAATTTTTTTAAATATTACTATCCATATGAAATGGTCTACCATATTGGGAATAATAAAATTCTAGCATTTGATTAACAGAACGCGAGTCTTGGTTAATAGTTAGACAAGTGAATTTCCACCTTATTTGAACCACGGAACATTTTATTTTTTGCTCAAAATCAAGCGAAAATATCCAAATGTGTGGAAACTATTCCAATTAGAAATAACCAATTTTGGCATATGAAAGAAATAGCAATGAGTCAGATGGCTTAATGACTAGAGTTGAAAAAAGACGTACCGGTAACTAATTTAAAATCATGAATACAAAGAAGAAAGTACAAATAAAAGATTTGCATACTCAGATCACAAAACTCATGTAAGACAGGCATTTGTACCCATTAATAGCATTGCCATTTTAATATGATATATGAGCTTGCTTCGTTGAACACAAATTTGTACACTTTTATTAGCATCAGTTTTTTACAACTCTTTAATTCATAAAAAGTTCCCCCTGCACTTCTACCATTGACAAATTTTGGTGATTATTTCATGAGTTTCAGGGTGAGCAGGCGTTTGCAAATCTGTTCGAAGAACACCGGTTAAAAATCACTGAGTTAGACCATCACAATATCTCAAAATTGATGTAGGTATATATTTACCACAGGTAAAACAAGGGTGTGCAACATTTTTTTGGCGATAAGCATGTGGCTATTACCTTACAGTAATAAATGCACCGGGCAAAATGACAAAAGAGATACTGCAGTGACAAGAGCAAAAACACCTCATGTATTGTATACATCTGAGCACATTTTCGAATATAAAAAGAAAGAAAAGAATTTTGTGATTGATGGGGATTGATGTATCAAAATAACACAAAAACTGTGCTAATTGAAAGTACCGTGAATGTTCCCAAATCTTTGTCACATCTTGGTACAAAAAAGCCTTGCAAGTAGAAACCATCTGATTAGTTATTTTTACAAACAATGATGTCATTCTTTCCGATGTGTTGTAGAATTGAGATATGCTGTATATCATTCGAACAGTATTCATCAATGAAGCTACATGATCTGAACACATGGAAGAAAATACAGCAAGATTTATGGTTATATTGCTTTTTGCTCTCAGTGGTGCCCTGGACAACCAGCCATAGTTGTTAAATTTGAGACCTGCAGAGGGAAAACACAGCTGTACAGTGTAGCTTGACTTGATATTCCCTTATTGAAACAATACACAGATTAGTTAGCCAGTTGTTTTTTTCAGATGATTGGTTGATATCTTCAGATGATGGGGTCAGGCTTCCTTCACTTGGTGGTGAAGGAAGCCGTAACCAACAAGCGGTTACGTGAACCACCCTACAACGATGAGAAGTCCAGCAATCCTCTTGCACATAACTATCTCCCACAAAATTTGAACCTGTTAACCCATGCAAGATAATCTTAGGTCTGGTGGCAAGCAAATTCCTTATGCTTAGCATGGTGCGCAACACCGACGAGCCTGCATGAAGTTTGAATTTCAAAAAAATCTTAGGAATGAAAAGATGTTTCAGGTTTCTTACTGAAGCAACCATTGGTATTTTAGGTAGAACAAAAATTGTAGCAATCATCAAATTATGTTTAATCTGATGACATGCACCTTAAAATTGCTAGAAGATTCGTTTGCAAGTCAGCGGTTGGATAATATGACAATCCTATTTTCTAATTCATATATATACATAAACATTTGTATACTTGACAATCAAAAATTTGAAAATTTACCAATCATGCCCATAGGAGTGCATTTTACTAAGGGTCCAAAGAATTTATCAAGAGTGTAAAGGTATTTCACATTGTCTTTTGCTTCATTTGTTGCATCAGTAATATGAGCATCCTGAATGAAAAAAAGAACATTTCTTTAGCATTGAGTAATTTGAAGGGTATATTCTTGGCTAAGTGACTCAATTTTTGCATACCGAAATCCCACACAAAATTGGGAAATTCTGCCTTATAAAGTCTGACCCATTTACACTAATTTTTCAGTATTCTATTCATTTTTCTGAAATGTCAGGCCTATGCTCTACATCAATCACCAATTTTCAAAAGCGTAATTAAATTGGATTAGACAGAGTTACATCTAGAAAGCTATAATCGATGAACAAAAAATGTCAATGTTTTAATAGAAGTTTTTAAATTCCATGAAGCAGTAGACAACAGGGGATATAAATAGAGATTCAAAATTGAATTTTCATATATCCTACACCCTGCAATAGTGAAAACTATGATAGCATGACTTCCCCAAATTCAATGAAACTTTAAATGCTTTTTAAATTGCTAAATTTAAAGTCAAATCAGAACAGGCCTAAGACTCTGATGCCCAAAATGTGTCACTCAACAATTATGTAGCCAAAGCAATACAAGACAGGTAGAAGATCTTATTTTGCTAATTGAGCACAACATACCATTTCCTTCCATTTTTTTATGCTCTTTGACCTAACAGCATTCAATGCTGATGATATAGAACGCACTCGTGGATCTCTTATTTCGTTCAATAAACCATCAAATTGCGCAGTTCTTCTCTTCCAGTGTTCTAATTCTGCTGCAGGACCACAGTCATCAGCTTCACATAATATTTGTTCACTCGTAACAAGAACCTAAATTAATTGGAATATAAATAGTTATAGTCAATACATATTAATACATATCAGCATTTATGAACTTTTTCAAAATAAAATTTATCGCCAAAAAGTGACATGATTTTTTTATGAGTGTGGCAATATAAAATATAGCGCAAAGTGTTGTAAAATAAAATTATACTATAGTTGAAAAATAAGATAATTTTATGAAGTTTCCCATAAAAGATTACAGTCTTAAATGCAGTGTTGAAATATCGATCAAATTTGAAAGGTAAGAAAACTCTGAGACCAACAATCACCAAAATTCGTGCAAGATTATGCAAGCACGTCAGTCTAATTAAAGATACTGTAATGTCAATTTCTTTTTTTAATTTTTTTTGTATTATCAAATCTTACTTTATTTTTATTTTAGTTCCTTGAGGGCTGCGAGAAAAATTTGACCGTGCCAAGTGGGTAGTAATAAAAAAAGTTTGAAGAACACTGTAACAGACCATACTAATTTCATTTTTCTGCCAGTTGTTGAACTCACTAATTAATACTGGTATAGATGCCTCAATGACTTGGTTAGTTATTTCTGACAATGGTATTTTGACAATAAAAATGAATATATGAAGCTGAAGCATTCTATGATCTAATATTGAAATGTAAAACAATTACCATAGGTAACAAAAAATGAAAACCCAAATTTTTCTTTTTTGCGAAAATGGGGTTTGTTCATATCAAGATTACGTATAGGCTATGCCTAATTAGCAAACTAATTAGCAAGTCTTGATTCGAGTACGTATCCTCCAGACCTATTAATTATATTCTAACATTGACAATAGACGAAACAAGCCTCTCACATATAAGTGCACTTATAATGGCAACTGAAGCCACTTTATGCATCTCAAAAGTGATTCTTGTCTTTTGGAATTCCCAATTTAACTTTGACAAAGATCCTTTTACAAACTTTGTGAAAAGTATTGAAATGAGCCTTAAATTACAGTAACTAAGCCATTGGTAAATCTTAACCCATCATAGTAGAACACACCGAAATCTATAGCTAAAAGCGAGAGACAGATAAAAAGTTTGTGCTTTCAGTAGCAATCATTTTTTGCTTGTTTTATCAATAATTTTAATATCATAATACAAATATAGGATAGGATAAGATTTACATATTTATCCCAACTCCTGAGGGAGAAAGATGCCGATAAGACGGCTTAATCATATGACGCCTGGTGACTAGTCTATGTCGAGTATGGGATTAGTTAGTTAACCAGTTATTTGTTTTTACGGAAGCATGGACTTGATGGTGGAGGAAGTCGCGGCCAGCTGTTACGTGAACCACCCTATGGTGACGAGGAGTCCAGCAATCTAGCACATAATTAACCCCACATGGGATTCGAACCTGCGAACCCGCAAAGTATTCATGCATTGGCATCTAGACCTAACATCTGATGTTGTTAATGTCACTGCTGGGTTTTAGTCGGAGGCTGATACATCAAGTTTTTAGTAATAAAAGCGTATGACACAATTTCGTATTGTACTGTTTGTTATTCTTTCACACAATGAGCTTGATGAGTGAAACAAAAAAACTTTTTTATGACAATGACATTGTTATATTTAATTAAAATGATTATCAAAAAGTAGTATGTTTCCTAGCTAAAAGAATCTATCAACTTTTTTCATCCTATACCTTATTTTTGAATATAACAAAACAACTATCATTCAAATTTATAAAGCAAAGTACCTGATCGATTTCTTTTGTCCATATTAACATTTGTTTTTCAAGATTTTCAAGAACCTGAGGGTCTGCAGCTAAATATAAAAACCATGAAATACATAAAAACATATTCCACCAAAAGTGAACTACTTATGAACAGAATTATGGTGATAAAAATATGTGACAAAAGTATGGAATGATAAGAGACTCCGCTCCAGGTCTATTGCACTTAACTGAAGTTTTCACAAAGACTGCCAGAAATACACATTTAAGTACAGTGATACTTCCGTAGTTGACTCAAATATTCGGTAGTCGACCAAAAAAATGTGACGAGATGACGTCATCCGAACTGTGCATCTGGGCTGCGTTTTGACCATTCAACAAGAAATCGATGCTCAAATATATGGACACGAAGGCCAAAACAAAGTCGTATGCATTGTGACAGTACCTGTACGACAATCTTAGCGACTAATGCAAAAGCGGAATCGCCAATAGGTGCACAATTTTTGATGATGAACTCCCACATAAAAAACGCATCCAATAGAACCCACAAATATTTGCTTAAACATACTGTAACTGTTACTATTTTTTTTATATTTTCATCTTTATCAGGTACACATATAAACAGTGGCGTAGCCAGGGGGGTGGTTTTGCGGGTCAAATCCTCTCCCCCCCTTTTGATATGTAAAAAAAATAGAATCAATTTTCTATATCCTACATAACAATTTTCTGTAGCTTGAAATGCTTTTTAGCCCCCAAAGACCAATAAAAACATGCGTATTCCAGCGTTCGATCGGACCCGCTAGCTGTTTCGATCCAACTTGACAAATAAAAATTTCTGAACCCCACTCCCTTTGAAAATTTCTGGCTACGCCCCTGCATTTAAATAATTGATGTTGTTTAGGTACCCGTTTTGTTAATATTTTGGGTATTTTGAAACACATAAGAATGATTAAAACAATTACCACTGTTTCTAATGGCAAAAAAAGTTCTGGTATTTCAACAACTCGATACTCGAACACCAATCCTAACCAATTATCTTCGACTACCAAGGTATCACTGTACAATGAAGTCAAATATTTCTTACACATTGCTGAAAGCTGACTGGGAGAAACAGATTTTACATCAAATCCCAAATCAATATGGGTTAACTTGATAGTTTGACTTTGTAGGTTTGCATTAGCGTTCCCAAGACATTCGATGAATCTTTCAAATTCTTCCAGAAACCAAACTTGTAAATCTGTTTTTCGTTTCCCTGTTAGTACTCCCCAGTTCTACAATAATAAAGAGCCTGGGTTATTTATAATATGTACCACCAAACAACAACAACAAAATGAAAAAAAAAATGTTCATATGTACAGCATGTTGACTTTAAAGATGACTTATTAGACACAAGGTGACTGCATGGACTGTTTTGCTATTATGTTGTTGTTGGAAAAGGATTGACCCTATGGATCTCTTTTTCTTTAAAAACTCGATCGATTGTTTTGAAATTTTCAGTGATTAAAGATTGTATTTGTCGCTGGAAGTCTATTACTTTTATTAATTTCTAAATTTTCTATGAATCTTATGGGATGTAATGTATTTCGTGAGAAATTTGTGATGTATGGGGAACTTAACATGAAATTTTATTTAAGCCACTATATTACTACTTTATGATGAAGCTTTTTCAACATAATGAAAACTCTTAGGACCCGAATTGAAGCAGGTGCAGCCAAATGTAAGAAGAATTTTAGTTTTTATATGTTTATTTCAATGTCACACACATTGATGTTGGAGTGAAATCAAAAAAATATATTTATAATTTCATCGATAGCAAGCCGGCAAATGCAGTTTATTTCTGGAAACAGCTTCATAGTGTTCAATGATTGTGAAAATATCAAAATTTTTATCATAAACACTTGAAACATCTAAAATATTTCATCATAAATGATACCTTTGTAGCTGCAATTTGTGGAAATATTACTTTTGACATGTAAAATTTCACTGCATCAAGAAGATTTCCATTTTCTACAAGAAAGTTTCCAAAGAAAACATCTTTATGTATATTTCCAACTTCAATTGCTGACTCATTAGAATGGCGAACAAAGAAGAAACACCATCCAGTCAATGGCTGATGTAAAATTAAATAAATATCAGTAATATGTCGGTAAACGGTACAGTATTTCATTTAAATAATGAATTGAACACCCTAGCAAAATAATTTTAAATGTGAAAGAATCCCAAAAAATTCAAACAAATATTTTAGCATGAGAGTTGATGTGGAAAATTGCCAATCTAAAATTAAATTAAAATATTGACTGCTTCTGTGCAATTAACTCAGAAACTAGTTCAAGTTCAAATTTAAAATTGTATAGTTTAAACAAAATTTTTCGCTTGCTTTATGTGCAATTTTTTTGACTTTGCTTATTTATTGCACTCCAACTTATTATCACAAAATGGAAAATAGTTTATATAAATTATTGGAACTAATTAGCAATTTGATAGTTTCATTTTCAATGGTGCATTTTGCACATGATGATTTGTTTCGTAAGTACTAAAATTTTTCTATAATTAATACTCATTGTGTCACACTCAGAAGTTATGGAGATTAAAAATTTCAGATTGAATTACAAAATTCAAACAAAGGTTAAAGTTCACCTCAGTATCTCCTTTTGTAAGAAAGAGATATTTTTTCTTGAATTCTGTTTGAGTTTGTTGTACTCCGTGAGCTCCTCGGTCAGACAAACTTGCTAAAAATAAGATAAATAACATATCATTTATGGCCAAAGCTTTTGCATAGCCTTTCTTATTCAAATCAATTTTGAAACAAGCATTTTGGAAAAAAGCATCTGCTTGTTCTATGAAAGCCACTTTTCTGATTGCATATATTTAAATAATACCACCTCACAGAATATTCTTAACATAGCTTGCATATTAAGCTTTTGTTTATTAGTACTTGACTCTTGAAACTACAAAAAAGTACAGTCTGGATAAAATAGAAAATATAAACTTCGACCATCGGACATCATTTTATAAAAAGTCTTGCAACCAATATTTACCAGGTGGTGGCCTATTTCCCCTATCTGGTTTTGAATTTTTTTTCTGTTGAATCATCCAAGCTGGCTGATGCTCTTGATAAAACATTGTTAGAACTCGACAACCACCAATCCGAAAAAATTCCTCAAAAAAGCTGAACTAAATAATATAACAAAGAAATGAAAGTTACATAAATATTTTAATAATAATATATTATTAATCTTCAGCTATTTAAAATTCAACAAAATCTCATAATATACTATATTATTTATGGAAATGAAATTGAACAATATCATTAATATTAATAATCACAAATAGATATGTATTAACAAGTATTTTAAAATCCTACATTTTGATCTTTTAACAGAATTGACTCAACTACATGTGTTTCCATATCAATAGTACTTCCCACCTGTAAAAATAGAAGTAGACATATACTGAAATAAATTCCCTCATTTAATTTAGCATTTTATTTTTTTATGGATCAGGAATTGTATTATATGAATTGACTCCTCAAAAAAATCTTGAAATACCACATTGAAAAGAGTAAGTTTTCGACCAAATTATGTTTCTAATACAAAATAATCAAATCATAGTTTCAGGTGAAATTGGACCAGTTCTGAAACGTTTCAATATATACCATTATGGAGAAATATGATCCTCACCAAAACTTAAAATAAAATTAAAAAAAAAAACGTTATTATGAACCTATTCCCCTATTCCACTTACATGCCAACACATGTAGTGATGACGCTCGTCCAATTTCTGTGCTGCAGCCATCTTTGTAAGTCTTCAGGATTTTCACTATTTTTTGATTAAACCGTCATGCTATTATTTAATAGCTAAAAATCACTAAAAAAATGCATTTTTGAAACAGAACATTATTAGTGGTTGTTAGTTTACTCAGACACATTTTTAAGAACCCTAACTTCAAATGGTCTGAAATTCATTAACCAAAAGCTTCTTACTCATAAAAGACGGGCAAAGTAGATTCGGAATCCTCTGCCACACATGATAATGGGAAATGGTGGATAATTCCTGAGAGTTGAAAAAACTTACAAAATGTAATTTGTAAACCATTATCCTGGTCTTTTTGAAATTGCTATGCGTGAAGTCGGATCAACTTCGCCAGAAGGAAAAATAGTAACGTACGATAAAATGAAAAACGTACATGAATGAACAGTTTTTGTTATTTTTTTATATACCATTGCAAGGTACTGATTGAATGTTTTAGATCAGGGTCGTCCAACCTTTTTGGGCGAAGGGCCACATGTAGTTTACTATTAATTGCCCGGGCCACTTAACATGGCATTATGTTCTAGTTTTGCTACACCGACTACAGGTTAATGGAAAAACAAACAATACCCTCACACCAAACTTTCACAATTAATATATCAATAAAACTGTTGTTTCCCAATTATTGATGGGGCGCCATCGATAGTTATTTACGAAAGTTTCACCAAAGACAAGCCAAGACGCTTGATGTTTTTCATCACAGCTCCCAACAGACCAATGCCTCTAGTCGTACCCTTAATAGGGACAATGGCTACGAGCTCTGCGGTAATTTCAAAATCATTATCAACTACCCGCAAGAAGATCGTCAAATTGAGCAGTAACCTTGATGTCAGTGCTTTCGTCAAGCGCCAAGGAATACGATGACAATTTTCCCACCTTTGTAATTAAAGTTTCCGCTATAGAGTTATCAAGCTCTTCGACCTAACAAGTTATGGTCTCTCTTGACAGGCTATTTTTTCGAACACCTCTTTTATTTCCGGACGTAACACATTGGAAACTCGAACAATACATAATATACATTCCTTAACGAATTCTCAATTTGAGAATGGCTTCGATTGTTTTGCGATAACGTCATATAGAGTAGTAAAGGACCAAGTGAGTAAGCGGCTATGGCACCTTTATTTATCGATATATCCTCCCAGTTGGTTTCGATTCAAAATGGCACTAATGGCTCGTTTGAAAGGGCTGCAGAGCGCATTTCAGGAAAATAAACAAATCGTTTGTATCACATCTTTGTATACTATATCACTCGAAAAATAGTTTTCTCCAATTTTTTTATTCAATTCTGAAAAATACAGCGCGGGCCACTCGAAATACTTCCGCGGGCCACGGGTTGTACGACCCTGTTTTAGATTATGTTACAAAATTCAAACAAAGAATATTCAATGACTCTCTATGCTCGTTGTTAATGCGATACACAACCTCGAAGCAAAGCCACATCACATAGGACAGCGAATACCAGTGGTATAGACTTAGATATCCCACATTTCTTGCGCAATTTCTAATTCGTCCCAAACTACAAACGGGGTGATGCACCATTCGGAAACGTATGACACTGTATCATTGTTGACAAGCTACGAATGATATATATGTAACTGGAGCTAATACATGACCTATCACCGAGGAAAAGCGTTTATTAACCGTACGCGTACATATAATATACAAGTAGCAGCTAATCGCGATAACGCGAAGTAAGCACACGGTCAATCACATCTTTCGTCCTGATTATATCGATATATTACCATTTTATCGACAACCACCCAGTCATATACTATCGTAGATTAGTTAAAATGTCAAGCCACATCCACATGCATGCCTGTGCACTTTCGTCCTCCTTTCCCTATTTTGGACATTACTGCCTCGAGAATGTACTTTTACGGAACAGATGTCAGTAATTTTTCGTAAAAAGGCTCTTGACATCATTTAAGTAGCTCTGTTGAGTGCTTAAATAGTCACAAGAGCCTAATTACAAATGTGAAAGCTTTTTCGAATATTTGTAGAATCGTACATTATTTATTTTAGCATCATATCCTCCTTGTTTTTCGAATTACCGTAAATGACAAAGAGTACACGCCCATTTCTCTCACGACTTTAGGTGTTATAAATCGGGTAATTTATCCATGTCCGCTCGCGTTTCCTAGCTTTTTCATTACGATTGATGGTACATTCTTCTTGTTCAAAACTTCAAACTTAAAAAAAATTGGAGATAATTTAGCTTTTGGATACTATTGGAAATTCGATCAAAAATTGCTGGTCCGGCATGTGTACGCACCTTTAACTGAGCCAGCTAAAGCTGCCACCTCAAACGCCGTTTAAATCTACCGTTTCATGTTAATTTTCAAAACTGTTATTTTCTGAGATGCTCTCTTTATGGGATATGAATTAGTTGGCGCCCAGAACGGTCTATCGAACAAAGCTCGTATCACCGATGTATATGATCTACTCAAGTTTGGCTAAGTTTCGATTTAGGACGCCTAGTGCAGTGTTGCCAACTTGGATTATTTTAATCTAGATTTAGATTATTTTCGTATGATTTGGATGTAAGAATGAAATACCCATTTCGATATTAGATTATTTCAGCATTCATTTAGCTATATTTAGATTATTTTTACAAATGGTATTTTGCATTGTTCCTTAGTGGCAAAGAAGTGAAGTGCAGTTCACCAATGCCTAACATCTGTAGATATAGACTAGAAAAAATACAGAAAGGTTTTCCAATCGAAGTTACGGTAATAGTGCTCGAAACAACAAGGGAGGTTCGTCAAAATATTGGCAATTATTATTATTACCCTGAAAGTAACGTGAACTGAACGCTGTTATTATGCTAAAATCTGAAGTCAGGAAATACTGTTGTTCACTATAATTCTACCCCTACTGCCCTATAAGAATGTCTAAAGAAACAAATGGCAAACGATATGACCAGAAAGAGTGGTTAGCGCCCATGGCTGCTGATGAATCTAAGGCAGTGGTTCCCAAACTTTTTAGAGTTGGGAGTTGGGACCCACTATTTATAACCACAGCTTATGGCGACCCATTTAACTTATTATGACATGATACAGCAATGGCTAATCATCGTAAAACTACCGTGTTTCCTCGAAAATAGGACCTGGCCTGAAAATAAGACCTAATTTGGATTTGAAAAATGATTTTAATTAAACCCTACCCTTAAAATAAATTTAAAATGTGTGGGAGAGAAAAGGTTCAATGACCTGAGGTAAGGTGAAGATCACACCACTATTCAAGATTGTGTGATTCCACAATCACAATTATGATATTTGTCACTTGATTTTGGTATAGGAAATACAAATAAAAACAATGAATGTCGGTTTTTATATAATGTTTATTAATAAATCTCGTGATTTTCTACAATGTAATTTTATTTTTGATAAATGAACACAAGACCCCTCTTCCAAAAAAAAAAACACAGTGTTATTCTTCAGAAGAAAATAAATCTAAATCCCGTCTTCGGAAAAACACGGTAAGAAGTGCTGTACAGTGTACAAAACTGCTATGCGTAAAAAAGCCACATGCAGACATAGTCATTCTTTGTGTAGCAAATATTTGTTCCTTTGAGAAGATCGTAAAAAGGAAACTTATAGGTTATAGGAGTCGCTGCTTGGAGTCTATCCAGGTATCCTATCGCACAACCAACTTTATTAGTATATATATTTTCTCTACTAATTTTTGTGCATACGTTTTTTGTGACGACAGATAATCGATTGACTGACGCCTCAGTTTTCCAAACACTTTGTTCTTAGTTCTAATACTACACAAGACACAATGAGCCGATGATTATTTTATGTCATGTTGAGTCTGCCAAAGTTCTCAGAGATACATCGAGCATTTAAGCTAGAATACCGTATCTCTGTGTTCTTCTGTATGGCATCCTTTATTTCAAGGCACATGACTTTGATGTCGGAAATGAAGTTTTATCAGCGCATTTATATATAGATTTTAGCAGTGGTAAACTGGTTGTTAAAGCAGTAGAAGTTAAGATCGGAGACAAGCCAAAATCTGGAGGGAGAGGGTTTGACGTATTTGATGTAACTCCTGAAGCTTAGCTTTGAAATAACTTTCATTTATCTTCTTGGCATTTAGAACGGACCGCCCATTTTAAATTTGACCTGAAATTATCTGGGACGCCATACTGAATTATATTGATCTCAACACGAAACAAATGTCCTGAATAATATCGCAAATGATACTTATTGAAATCGGCTAATTCACTTCCTTTGAGTCTTCTATGCGGAAGTGTATGACATACCAATGAGACGGCGGTCATGACGAATAATTTGGAATTCAATCAGTCACTCGTTTCTTTGTCATCACAAAAAACAAGTGCAGGGGTAGACAGAGGTCGCTAGAGACCTCGTGAGATCACTTGCCATTTTGCAAAATAAAGCCAGGAATGTGAGATAGATGGGACAGCGTCGTAGTTATGTATAAATTACTGCGTGATTAATTGTAAGACTACATGAGAGTCGTCCAATAATTTTGCTATTAGAGTGAATGATTTTCAATAGCTTAAATCCTAAGTCATGTCCACATTAATCAGTTGATAAATTTAGACTATTGGCCTTATTTTGGAATGACTCTGAGTGCTATGAAGCTCGTTACTTCACGCAATATTTTGCTATTTCTACACGCATTGCATCACCCCGTGGCGCCAGGCCAAACTGACGTCCTACGAGAAAGACAGTGCTCACTGCTTACCGGTAGAGGTACCGACGTAAATCGCTGCGGCGATGGAACTTGGATTCAATTTGAATGTTCAGAACGGATTACTCGGATTTTAGTATACGTCGCTTGGTCTACCGATAATGTTGTAAGTCACTGAATAGCCATGCGTAATCGACATCCGACCACAACAAAATAATCGAAATAGGGAATGGATGGAATGCTGCGGAGCCACATTTTTCCATATGTGTATATGTGGAAAACTTTTGACAATTATACTGAAGAATAAATTGGTATCTAATATTACTCTTCTAGATATATTCATTATATAAAGTGTTGAAATAAAAGCATGTATCCGACGTTTATTTTTCCGTGTAGTCT